TGAGCATTCCTCTTGCATAGCATTGATAGGAGATTTTTTAGCTCCCATACCAATACGGAGACACTTGTGCTGAACCTTATCAAGTGTTTTTAAGAATGACTAGGATCCAAAAGAAATGAGGCATAGTCTAAATGGCTTCGAATTAAGACATTATACAATAATTTTTGACAAAAAGGATGGGCTCCCCACTAACCGCCCAACAGGAATAATATTTATACCACATTTTTGACCACATGAGCTTGAACGAGTCTTCTTCTTTTTTTAATTAATGGCTTATTTGCGCATTTCGCACAATTCTGCCAATGTCAAGTAAATAAATTAATTTTTACATGTAAAATGAAAATGAAATGAATGAAAGATGGCGATGATCCGATTTTAAAAACGCGCGTATTTGATTTGACTTTTGTCAATTTACAAGTTGACAACTAGTGTTGCCGAAAATTAGTAATCAATAAAGAGGGACGTTCCTTGTTAATTCAATTTAATTTATAATAAGGTGATTGATTTAAGATTCTCTAAGGATCTAACATGAGCAAGAAATAATTTAAACTTTAGTTACTAATCAGTAAAACGTATACAAGGAAATTTTGTAAGTAATTACTTATGCACCTTAAGTCCATTAACAAATAATGATAAATGACAAAAATATGAAGCCTGTTTATTAAAATTTAACTGGCCTTTATTGGAATTTGACTTCACAGTGAATATGATAATATAACCTTCCATTTTAACGTCTTGTTAAAAATTAATATTCGTCAAATGTCTTAGTACATCTTGAAATACTTAAGTACCTACATCTTTAGTTTTAGTGTACACATTAATATCAAACGAATAGAAGTATCCGTTTTAACCATAGATCTTTAAATATAACGAATTGTTGATAATTAATTATCATTTTAATATAGATATACGATAGATAATTATTGTATAGTGCTATGTCTTATGAACTATGCATGTAATAGAATAAAGCGAATTATGACTGATTCGAAAAATATAGAAATATATGTTGTTTAGTAATACATGTACCTATTTTTATTTTGATGAAGTTTAGATACATCTTGTAGTAGGATCTATCTTGTAATTTCTTAGTTTGTTTATGTTTTTGTTAACAGATGCGTACCTATATAGTAAAAACCTTATATAGAGCGTATTAATTCCGTTGATGACCGTATGTATCATTCATCATACATCTCATCACTGTTTCAAAAATATATAAAATACAACTAATATTCAGGGAAATAGCGTGCTTAATACTTCATTATGATTGGCTGACGTTTGTCACATTTTATCCCGGCGTACATACAAAGGCTTCGGTGGGTCATATTAACTATGTTTTATTGACGCATCAAGTGGATAATGTATATTTATTTATGTTACATCATTCATTACTTTTGAAACAGTGTAAGAATAAAACAAAGTTATAAATAAAACTTATGTACGTATTATGTATTGGCTTAGGAAGGTATGGCCAGTTGGGAGGACTGTGAGGGTGTACCCGTCTACGAATTTCGACTAGTAAAGTTGTTGACAATTATAGCTGGACATGATTTTTTTAAATTATTGAATCCATGGATAATTATATTGGTTAATACCTACCATGTTAATATCTAAGGGCGTCACATTATTACCATTAAAATGCTTCAATGACACAACTGTAATAAGTCACTCCTACTTCATGATCATATTTAAAAAAAATGTTTAAAAAGGTTATTTCAACTCTGTTTTTTTTTTTTCATTTCACAGACAGAATATTGTTATAAGTCTAGTTCTATTAGGAATACTTTCTCAGACAGAACTTAATTATAAAAAATATTTGTTTGTATAAAATCCAATTTTATGCTATTTACTTCTAAAAATTTTATGTCCTTTGGTACATACATTATAGTCAGCATATTAAATATCACAATGGAACATGTGAAAGTGAAGATGGTTGGTGCACCGTCATCGATACGTCAGATTAAACTAAATTGACAAATTTATTAATTCGATTTGAAATCTAAATACATTTGATTGACATAGTAGTGTCTTGTAGTAACTTACCTAATGCGCTGTTGTATGTAAAAGTAAAGATAAATAGGTATAAATATATCTAAATTTCTTGACACAGTCTAAACAATATTTAATAGGTTGTTCAACTACTGAGACATAAAAGTCTCGTTAGTTCAATGGTCGAACTAACCAGATGAACTAGTAAGAACAAAGGTAAGATTCAAGGTACGCCCGCCATATTGACATTAAAATGGATTATGTTTTTATTTCATCTATACCAACGAACACTGATTATACTAATTATTATACTAAAAATATATTTAAAAATATTTAATGTCATGTAACCATCGTGTATGAAAAAATAAAACAAATTGATTTGTCCCTCTGTGCCTTATAAATGCACGCACACTAGCGCCAACGAAAAAAAAAATCAGGCATTTGTAGCTCTGAGTAGCATACAGATTGAATCAGCGAACGACCAATGAATGTGTTCATGACTTTTGTTGATCCTTATCCTAATGGATATAAGGGCCAACGATACTCATTCATAGGTGCTTTTTGGCCGTTCGTTTGTCCAATTGTCCGTTATAATTCAAATTTGATTACTGGTTCGTTAGCATTAGTGTGTCTGTATTTTTAGGTAAAAGAATTGTTAAATGTTGTTAACTTGCTCGAAAAATTACTCTTCTGGAATCCAAATTATTAAAACACTCTCGTATCGCATCTTGAGTATCGACTAGCCTCACTCACCTCTCTAAATCTATATGAGCGAGTAATATTCTATTTGAATTTGCCATATCGTATCATTACAAAGGTACTAAAGTCTCGATCAAGTTCTAGAATTTATAACTTTAAAAACTATACATAACTATATGAAACAATTTTAAACCCTTACTATGTGTGTCATTTATAAAAGAAATATAAGTAAAAAGGTTTACAATCCCTGACTGTTCTTTGTTGTATATAAATATCTAGTAATATATTGTTGTGAAGTATGAACACCATTAAATATTTTATGTGTTCTTGTTATCCTTAAATCCTATTAAAGTAAGATATTATCTTATTGTATAATGAATGAAACTAACAGTATGTGACTGTTTAAGAAAAATATGTTCAGTATTACGGGAAAATATTAACGGGAATAAAATGCATCACGAGCTCAAACGTCAAAAATAAAACAAATTTAAGCAGATTCTATGTATTTTATAAACATAATATGTTCTTTTTTTCGAACAGATTACAAATGACTTTCTTATTCGAAATATCATATTTCACATCGATTCCTTGTAAAATGGTGAGTGCAGAGTAAGGAGTGAGTGGTATAGTGTACCTATTTTATAGTATAGCCTATAGTATTTTATTGAACCCATGTCGTTACCCAATATTGTTTAAATCTATCCCGTTTTAGCCATATTAATGGCAATATGTGAGACGTTAATTAAAAGTATATTTGTAAATAGTATTTTGTCGCTGTCTCGAAACGTCCACGTTACATCTGATAGTAAATCAGTTCTTAATGTTTTTATGTGTTTTATTTCATACCTATGATTCTTATACCGTGACGGGAGAACTGCACTTACTTCTTCAAAAAGATTTTTTTTTAATATGTTTATAAGTATTTTTTTATTTTCTGTAGAACCAGAATTTGTCATTTCAAACTTTCAAAAATCAAATATTTTTTGAACTGGTAGAAAGGCCTAAGGGTACCGATGACTTTGCAACTACTAGACTCAATCTGCACCTGCCAATTCAACATGCTGTCGATACAAATGCCTAAGTCTACAACATGAGAAGAAAACTTTTTCAGAGCGCTTAGTGTAAGTTTTTTTGACGTTTACGTTCACTGTCGATCGTGAGCGCGTTAAGATTTTAGTATGGAATCCGGTACAGCGCCCCTAGCGGTAACTACCAAGAATTACAAATCTCCATACAAATTCTTAACGCGCTCACTAGTGAACGCGTTAGCGTAAAACTTACACTTGACACTCTGAGTGCCGTTAAAGATGATGGAACCCGAAACCGAACTCATAAACTTATAAACTTTGTTAAAAGACATGAACTAACTAAACTACCTACGATGATAACTTGTTAGGATTGACTCGAATTTCAAATATTACAGACCAGTCTAAGATTTTTTTGTGTCCTTAGTCTTTATTAATTGAAAATAATGATGATATGACATGGGTAAGTTATTTATTTTAGCTTGAGCATAAATTTGCAGAAATTTCCTGCAAAAATCAACTTTTGGTATAGGCGCCATCCAGTGAGGTGATTATTAGTGCTTTCTTTTTTTTTCTTATAATACTTCCACATTGAATTGCTTTGAATTGAATCTCATACGAACATCGTATCATACATGTTAGGTTTTAATTTTGATAAAAACAGGCACCATAAACCCAAATTTTCCGCATTTACACTTTTTGGATATATTATGGGAGCCAAATAAGAACGGTACTGTCAGACAGAACGGTACTAGCTTTAAATTCTGGATGTAAGATGTGTAAAAAACATTTATTTTTATAAATCAACGCATCCTCGTATATATTATAACATAACAGAATTACATTACATTGACATTTGTAGTTGAACCCAAAGTCATAAAATGGCGGCGCCTTTAGAATGGTCAGCGTTCGTTGTGACAAAATAGTCAACTTCTTATCTAGAAAGTCTTATCTTATCTAGACAGAGAGATCAAATCAGAAAACCAATGTTATTAATTTTGAATAAAGCTGTGTCAATACGAAACTAAACGAATCATAATAAAATTAAGCACTTAATTTTCTTTGTTCTAATTAAATTACATAAAGTTGGTAACAGCGATTTCCTACGATTTCTTTTTACAATCTTTCAGGCATAAGAGTCGCTCTGGTTTTAGACCGTATTCTATTCAATCGATTAAAAAATTAGTTGATTGTATTGACTAGATTCGATATTCTAAAAGATTCAAACGTACATCCCAAATTGAATTGATTTGTCACTGTCAACTGTCAACATACTAAGTCTGTGATCAGTAGTTTTTGTTTTCGTGGTTTTTGAGATGTTTTCATAGTTTTTTTGTTTTTAATGTTCTAAGTGTTCATAGTTTATTGAGTTCATAGTATATTAAAATAATTTTAGGTTCAAGCAATGTCAAACTCAGCTCACGTTGTAGATGGTGAGGCATCAGAGTCGGACACTGAAATAGAAATAGGTATATCACCCGTAAGTAGAAACTGTTGTTAAAGTTTGTTATGTATGTAAGTAAGTAAATGTTTAATAATTTTTGACGAGTAAGAATCATGGTGACAATTTTTTGGCAAAATATGGACTAATTATTAGTTTTTTTTTTAACAGAAACTATATTTTCAATTCTGTAAACAAGTAGGATAACCACACATTACAGTATACTGGACTTTATTTATATTTCTAAGATAACAATTTTGATTAATTATGGACTTTAATTATATTTCTAAAATAACAATTTTGACAACAGTATAACATCACAATAAATCCAAATCAAAATAAGTTTAAATAAATCAGCAGTTGAGATCTTTAAAATAAATATCAAAATGGCATTAAATATCAAAATTGTTTAAATATATTAACTAAGTTTCTGTAGTTCAGACAGCGGCACATAAGAATTCTTTAACATTTAAGACAATAAGAGAAGGTATGGCAATATTTTCTTTCTATTAGTAAATATGTTTTTTTTTATAGGACTCAAACCTATCACCCAATACTGAAACATTTGTAATTGCAGGAGAAGCACCTGAATCAGATGAGGGTGGGTTTACTTTTACAACTTTACCTTTGATAGCTCTTAGAAACCGTATTAAAACCTTGTAGTATTAATTTATCACAGCCTAAATGTATTGTGGAACAATTAAAGAATGAGACATGTTCATTATACATGGGAATCATTGGGTTCACTGCTAAAGTATTTCATTGTTATTCTTGGTTGTAACTTTTGACATCTTTTTCCCTTATAACAAGCAAAAAAAAATCAGCGTTTATTTCAGGCCTGTCAATTCTTTTTCATTCAACATGCTAGGGACAAAGAAGATTTATTTTAAGCATTTTTTACTAAGAGCATTTGCTAGTATAGCACTGTGAATGCGAAATTGCCCAAATATTATAACTCGACATTGTATTTTCAGAAGGCGAAATTACTGTTCATCTACCATCTAACTTGGACGCCCCCCTGAATTTGGCTATGAATCAACCAAGCCCCTCCAAAATATATACGTCATTGCTTCATCAGAAGTTATGTAAGTTCTAATAGCAAATGGGACTTGAACCCATGACCTTCTGCAATCTGGGTGGCTGCTCTAAATACTGAGCTGCCCAGGACCTAACAGGATTTTATTTTATACAGTGTTACAAATATATTTGAACAATGGGATAAAACAATCTTATAATGTCTTGTTAGAGGAGATGGGCAGGGTAACTTTATTTTTTTTGTCATAATTTGCTCTAAGTAATAATAACAAAAAACTAATATTGTGTTTTTTTATAAGCATTACATTTAACTCTTACTTATTTATTCTACTGGTTATTATCTTAATTATTATATTATTTGCAGGGGAATGCAATGTGTCATTACGTGCAAGCATAGAAGGGCTATTCAAACATACCACTGATATATCTGCTGAGAAGTTATCTAGGGCTGATAAAGCTTTATTGAATGTGCAGGTAAATATAATTATCTCGACAAATACTTGTTGTATCTGGGTCAGCTGCGGCTCAATGATATGGTTCCCAAGGGAACACGTTTTTCATAAGTTCCCGTGGGAACTTTGAATAAAAGTAAGGGCGCCGCTGAAGATTATGAATTTTACGGTTTAAAATGGTTACCATGGAAACAGTTTATTTTATAGGTTCCCGTGGGAACATCGAGAAGTATTTAAAATCATTGCGGCAAGGTGCGAATCCAGCTTGGTATTTTTATCAGATAATTTTTCCAACTGTTTTTGTTCGATAAATGTTTGATAAATTATGAATGCATAAAGGAAATCATATCTAATATTTTTATATATTTATCTTCTAGGAGTCCATGAGAGCCACGAACGCTAATTTGATATTAGCACGAGCTAGACTTAAACAATTAGAAGTGCAATTACAAGAACTAAATTGTGGCAGCGCCTTACCCACTGTTAAAATTAAGACTTAGTATAAACTTGCCTTTAGATATGATGTAATGTCCGTTGAGAACAATGAAAGTAATAATATATAATTAAATCGTTTTGTTAGTTTGTTAAAACAGAAGAGTAATGATTGTTAATGTAATATTGTAAGTTTAATAAAAATTAATATAGTCAATAATTGTGTTATAATTATGTTAGGTACAATTAACAGCACGTCAGACTATACGAAACTGTCAAATTTCCCCACTCGGTTTTAAACCTCTACCTACCTCCTACTCTACCCACAATATATTAAATTGTAGGTAGAGGTCAAAATCTATTGCAGAAATATATTGTTGTAACCCTGACATGCAGCCGTATGTATTAATGATTTTTTAAATACGTAATATTATTGTTCATAAAGAGCTCAAATGCATAATATATTCAAGTCTAACTTTTTCTGCACTATTTAACTATCACTACTTATAAAAATGGCAGGACACGTAGTAAAATCAAACAATCTCTCATTCGTAATGTCGTTTTATTTATTTATAAAATATCCGTTTATATGGTGTAGCCTGCAGTATCGTAACCCCAGGCAGTCATCTGGGTGTCCACCCAGTTCCTGAAGTACGGTACGCTCGCGTATACGGCCGGGATATCCTTGCCGCCGCAGCCGATGCCCCACGCCACCAGACCGGTCAGTTTGTACCGATCACCGGACATGGACACGGGGCAGGCCAGGGGAGCGCCGCCGTCACCCTTAATAAAAAACCAATAAATAAAATCTTGGAAATATTGTTTTCAGACTCAGAGGAGCGATTACTTGAGCCGAAGTTGTTTATTTAATACTAGCTAACTTCGTCCACGTGAAAAGTAGCCTAAGTTACTCCTTAGGGGCCGTCCATTAATCACGGGATGTTGTTTTCAACATTTTTTGACCCCCCCCTCCCCCTTGATGATACATGATGAGGTTATAGACTACCCCCTCCCTCCAACCAAATCACGTGTGTTTAAAAAAAACGTTGCTTTTCGGTTTAATAATTGCGCGTCGAGGAAAAAATAAATACACGTGATATATTATTACACCCCCCTCCCACCCCCCTTGTGAAATTTCGTGATTTTTTACGAATCCCCCCCCCCCTTTCGACCCTCACGTGATTAATGGACGGCCCCTTATAACATAAGCTATCTGTCTATGAACTCCCGTCGAAATCGATCTAGCCGTTTTATAGATTAGCCGGAAGGAATATGGCAAATAATTAAAAACATGTTATTTTGGTATCTGTACCGAGTAACACATAATTATGCAGTTAGTACGGTTTTTAAAATATTACAAACAGACACTCCAGTTCTATAGGTATATTTGTATAGATGGTTATTTCCTTTTATACTGCGAGGTGTGTAACCAATTTGTCCATCCATCTAAAGCCAAATTACATTACGAATTTAGTGTCAGCATTATACCTAAATAAAGTTTTATGAAACTAATTTCGCATGTGCCGAAATTAGTATAATTGCGTGTAATTATCAGTATAAAGCAATTATTGTTAGCAACCGTTATTTCGTTTCCTGGATCAACTGTCGCCCAAAGTCCTATATCAACATAAAACTCGACATCGTAGAACAGTCTTTATTACCTATTATAAAACTATTTCATTCATTTTAATCATATACAATGCCAGCTGCGCGTGATCTAGTTTTAAGTCCAGAAATGAGCAAATTCCATTAAAATTTTCTTCCCCCCTTTCATAAAGTCCCATCTTAGTGAGCACCTACGTCCTAAAAAGAACCCGCAAACAAAATTTTAAACTCTTCACTTGTATTAATCTGAGATTTCATTAAGAGTGAGTGAGTGAGTGACCTTTCGCTTTTATATGTCCGTCTAAGTTGTATTCGCCATTTATTTTATTCTTACCGTGCAAGTATCTTTCCCCTCCTCACCGCCGGCGCAAACGAAGGTTTTGTGCAACTTGAAATGTGATCCCAGACGCGTCTTCCTGAGAAGCATTTGGCAGCGCGAGTTGGGCACCATGTCGATCTCCAGCTTCTTGAGTATCACAGCGTACCGGCCTTGTTGGCCTGTGAAAATCGGAAAAAAATCAAAATGCGTACTGTGTATACTGATATACACAGAATACAATATTCTTAATCATCATCATCGGCCATTTTACGTCCCCAATGCAGGGGTTCAGGCCTTATGGATGGTTAAGGAGGATGGGCCATAACCCGCTGGCCCAATGCGGATTGGTGGGTATTAACGTTCTGCAAATGCAGCTGGAATCAACGACTAAACGTGCCTTCCGAAGCACGGAATAGCTCGAGATAATAATTTTTTTGGTCACCCATCCCGTGACCGACCGACTGAAAGTTGCTTAACGACAACGATCGCGGGCCGCGGCGCTTATTCACTACGCCACCGAGTTACTCCTATATTCTATCTATGGTAATCTAGTATATTCTTATGGAAAATGCTTAATGCTCTGTACTAGCGAAAAAGTAACAAGTGCTTGAAACATTCGTCAGTCCTGTTAGGTCCTGGGTAGCTCAGTGTAATACTTAATTTGTTGCTTCTTTTGTTGTTTTTTTGGTTGGAGCAGTCGCCGGATTGCGTCAGATCATGGATTCGAGTCCCATCTCGAAGTGCCGGGGACAAAGTGAATATTTTAAGCATGTTTCATTGGTAATTAATGACTTTGGTAATGATAACTTCTGTTTGAGCTGGTGAGTTTCTTTCGCGCGTTTTTCTTATCAACCAAAAGACGTCCTAATTGACTGGTAGATAAAAAAAATGTTAGACTATTGAAAAATGGGCCAAAATACTTTTTTATGCCTAAAAACCTGTCCCTTTGAACTAATGTTAAATTTTACGGTAAAACACTACAAAAGTGTAAAATAAGTAAGCTGATTTCAAAATATTACATTATTGTTTAACACAGAACACAAGATTTGACCAGTAAAAATACATCATTATAACAAAAAATATAGTAACAATGTTGTCATTCTTAGTAACGCATTTGTTCTTCATACAAAATACAGTTGTCCTTGAGCACATGTCTCAAGCTTCTCTGGATTTTTTCCACAATATTTCCTAGGTGGCGATTCATAATGAATTCCGCTTTAAAAATTTAAGCCCTAAACCTTATTTATAATGCCAATAAATATTTTTTACATCAAAAAATTATTGGAGTAAAAAATTATTTTGACTGTGTCCCTAACAAATACTAAAATCGTAACTACCTTGCGTTGCTATATGAAAATAAACCTTTAAGTGAGTGTATTACCCTTTTTTGCACCTTATTCGGCTTTACATATTGTAACTCGTATAACGAACGATGGCAACCGCGGGGGAAGAGGACGCTCGTCAGATCAGACGCGTTGGAGTCGTCGGGAGAGGTGCGTGTATTTATTGCGTGGCCGCTGAGTTACCACTGTCGAAAGGTACGTATTGACAATATTTACATAATATTTGTTTTATATGTAGTTTGTCATGTATTGGATCTGTCAGTGTTAGAATATTTGCACTTTGTTATTTCATTTAGTGATTATATACAACATAGTCAAATATTTACAACTGCGATACTGCTACACTGCGTTACTTGAAAATGTAACGCAGTTGTTGCATTGGTAACGCAGTTGTGAATATTTGACTATGTTGTAAATAATCACTAAATGAAATACCAAAGTGCAGATATTCTAACACTGACAGTACAAAGACATGACTAACTACATATAAAAATAAATAATATATTTGTCAATGTTGGTGATACGTTATTTAAGCCTTAATTTTCATATATTGTTTCTTTTTTTATCTTAGAGAAAAGATTCTGCGCTAAATGGCGTTAACAAACGCAGAAAAACAACGTCGCTATAGGCTTAAATTAAAACTAGACCCGGTGAGAAATGCTGAAGCTAAGAAAAACACCAAGAAAGGTACCATGCAAATAAAAAACTTGTCAAAGATATGACAGAGCGAGAACATAGGAGTGCTAAGCGTAAATGGAAAACTGCAAATAAGAAACGTCGAGAACGACAAAAAACTGCTCAACAAATTATGGACATTACACCGACGTCGAGCCCGCGGTCAGGAACTCCAGTTTTACCGAGGTCTAGAGGCCGAAAACAAATACGAAGAGATAGATCTGCAGTGTACAGAAATAATTTGAAATTGCAGGAAGAAATAGAAAAGTTGAAAAGAATGTGTAGTAAATATAAAAAGAGATACCAAAGAGCTAAAACGTCAATCAAACACACGGAACAAGTAAATAAGCTTAACCAAAATAAGTATTCAACATTATCCAATGCCATCAAAGACCATTACAGAAGTTTGAAGTCAATCAAAGAGAAACAATCATTAAAACAAATTTTCAAGGAGAAGGCTTATCTAACTCTAAAATAAAAATTGCTATTGTACGCGAGACGTTGGGAATTGATCTGATGAAAGTGATGAAACGACAGCAGAATACCTCAAAGAAAAATCTGGTTAACAGCATTAAAAGCTTTTTTGTTCGTGACGATGTTTCTAGAGCTACGGCTGGAAAACGGGAAACTGTCACTTGTAATAAAATTAAAATACAGAAGCGATATTTACTAGACACAATGAAAAACCTATTTCATTCTTTTAAAAAAGAAAATCCAGAATTGAGATGTTCTTATTCGTATTTCATTAAAAACAGGCCATTTTATATAAAGCCACCTTCAGTTTCTGGAAGAGAGATTTGCCTATGCAAGATACATACTAATGCGCAGTATATTTTAGATGCTCTCTACAAAACCAGGGTTATCGCTCACCAAAACACTGAAGGAGTTAAGCAAGGTCCGTTTGTATTTAGTGACGGACAGTGACATACAAAACATTGAAAAAGCTCTACCTAAAAACCTTGTACCACTTCAAGGTACGATGCTAGTACATCAAGTTTTTACTGACACTCCCGGTGAACTTCAATATAGAGATCTCAGTTGCTTTTGCCAAAGAGGTTTTTGCTCATGCATGAGCCCAAAAACTTATCACCCTGTTCCTGCTCCCGTTATTGACACACTTACAGAAGGTATTCTCTTGGATGGATTGGATGAGGAAATAGTTCTCGATGATATTTTATATATAATTACCGTACCTAGAAGAACATTTTACAATACGGTTTATTCCACACCTTCCAGCTCTGATGACGAGTTCTTAGCCAGCTATAGCCAACCATCAGTTTCTAATATAAAAGAAAGGCAATTAATTGAAAAGGAAAATATTCATCCTACAAAGATATCAGACGGTGTCCATGTCTTAGTAAAAGTGTCTTCTGTTAAAGACAAACATTACACTTATCTAGGTGTTGCTAAAAGTGAAGTTGATGAAGAAGGAGACGTCAAAATTATGTTTTACAAGACAGTAGATAAAACTGGTAAAAGGTTCAAAGCAGTAGATACTGATATTTCTTACGAACCTTACGATAACATCTTAGAAATTGTTCCTAATCCTAAAATTGTCGTAAAAGGTAAAAGGATATACTTTGATTATGATAAGCCATTAAACGTCTTTGAAAAGTAGGACTGATTTGAAAGTGTTCCATTAGTTATTAAGGTTGATTTTGTGATTTTTATTTTTTGAGTTTTTAAATTTATTTCATTGAAGATACTTTATTTTATATCGAGTCATAGGAAGTTATATTTTGTTATGTTTTTATCGTTATACTAGATCTCTATAGAAAGTACAAATATTGTATGTACAAGAATTGTATGTAAGAAAATACTACCGTGTTACTGGGCTTACTACTGCGTTACTTTTGTGTCCCTCAGATTTTTTATAGTATTTTCAATATATCTATGATTCTTATTATTTAACGTGCTTTAATTTCATACGTACGTATTACTCATCAAAATTGAAAGATTATGTTGTAAGTTGGTATTAATTTTAAGTTTTTATTTGTGATAAATAGAAAAGTTTATGTTATAAAATTAAATTTTGGTAACGCAGCAATCCAAAGTAATAAGGATACTCTATGAAACTGATAACTTCTGTGATTTAATTTTATAAGAAGTTAATTATAAGCGTTACAGTTTAAAACTGACACGTTGTGATTCTCTTTGTACAAGATTAATAAAAATTAAAAATAAATTCAAAATGTAACGCAGTTGTTTAATTTTCCGACACCTTCATATATTGTTGACCATAACTATAATTAACTCATTTAAACTAACGCTGCAGAGGTAGGTATATTATAAACCGAACTATAACGTATCTATATTTGCATATAAAAATAAGAATATTAATATTTTTATAAAAAAAAAGAAATTTAAAATCGTATGTTTAGATTAGTCATTAAAAAGTATTTTAGCCCAAATATTTGACTTAAGTTTATTTGAATAAAAATATTTTTAATTTGACTTGTTGAAATTTTGCTAACAAGATTTTTTATACTTTTCAGTTAGGTACGTTGGTGGGCGAGGCTTCTCACTTAACAACTTTGGGTGGGCACAATATTACGTAATTAAATACATAACTGTATTGATGGGCTCGGATTCAATTTATGTTCATGTGAAAAAAAAATCCGTATGGATACTTAAATATAAGTAACTCAAAGTTGAAATTTAGCTAACCGCTCAACAACTTATGTAAATCAGCCTTTAATTACCTAGGTACTTAACGGCTGCATTTACAATCTTTAACATCCACCAATCTGATCAGGACCCGCATGAACAATTATATCGATCTACTTCGTGCTTCAGAAGGTACGTTAAGCCGAAGGCCTTAGCCCCTGCAGTGGGCACATAAAAGGCCGTGCAGTGCCATCAATGAGTATCCAAATTTATCTACATAGCGAGCTTACCAAAAAAGTCCTTCCCCCAGCCGTTGGCGACGCATTTCTTTGTGTTGTCGAACGCTTCATCTTGCGACGGCAGACAAATTACATTAATATGTTCAGCCAACGTCACCGGCTCTTCTAGACGCAGTAGAGCGATGTCATTGAAGAGATTTACCTTATTGAAACCTATGAAAAGGTGAATAGGTTATTTTTAATTCTATATGTATATATCGCTTATCTCTATCCATATGATAGCCAGAAAGAAAGAAGAAGTTTATTGACCGTTCATATACATCTTTTCATATACAATAATGGTGTTCAAGAGAGGAAAAAAATAAAATACAAAAATTCATGAGTTAACCAAAAGAGCGGTCAACATGGACCTTATCTCAGCGATGGCCCCTGTGCCACTTTAAGATAGGCAAAATGACACAGAGGCGCTGTTCTAGGACATCTTAGTGATGATATGGCGAGTTCATTTTACTACTTTCACATGTACTGTAATAAAGACCAACGAAACAAATGATTAAGAATGAGAATTATTGTTTTGACAGCAATGTGACCAACTTAGACGTTTTGCCACCAAAAAAAATCATAACATCTCTAAGATGTCGCGTCTACGTAAGAAACTCCATACATTCTTTTTATTTTCATTTGGGATTCAATAATTTAGAATAGAAACAATTTTTATTCTGATAAAAATTCAAAACACGACTGTTTCTGCTCAAAATACCGGTTAATTTACACCCACAGATTCCAGTTACGATAGCTTTCTCCGTTTTATCTATATATTAACTCTAGCGTCCCTTTTTGTCAATGGAAAGCAACCAATAGCCATTGTAATTAAAGAAACTTCTCTTAACCGGTAATAAATAAAATAATTAACCGGTAATTTCCCAAATGTTTCCAAGCCATGCTCAAGATGCGCTCTTTACTGTGATTAGTTCCGTACCTGTATGTATTACCATGTCCTTGACAACCCTCTCCTGGTGTTTCAGTCTCTCCCCCGTTGTCTGGGTGTCCCATTCTCCCGCTCGGATCTTCAGATTCCCGGGATACCTGATTAAGAATGATATTAAACCGACTGCTATCACGTACTTAGGTCATCTGATTTAATTATCTCCAAACTTTGGCTTTCAAGCTCTTTTGGTGAAGATGTTACTTAAGCTAAATCATTTCATATTAGTTAAAATATTAATAAGTGTAAAGTCATGCTTATGCCTATACCCTAGAAGTGGATATGTTAACCGGTTGGTGATTTTAATTAGCTAAGAAAGTGGTACGACAGGATTGGTATCAACGTGACCTACTTGTATGCGATGTGGGCACCTGTCATCACAACCTGCGGATGTATGAGGACGCCGACACCCACGTAAGAGTTGTTGAGTGCAGTGAGCGCCACAACCCAGGGGAACTCGCCGAACTGGGATTCGTGACCCTGGAACAAGACAAGAAACCATGCAAAATTAACATATTGAACTCGAAGAACGGAGGTAGGACCTGACACTGCTTCTGATGCTTTTGAATATGATTTTGACGTAATAGGACAATTCGGAATTTCCCGAATTTTCTTTCGAGGTCAAATAGAATAGGCCCTGTGGTGTCATGTTAATTGGTACGAGTTATAAGTAAAAAAATAATCTTTGTACATTATTAACGGCAAATGTCACTTACAGTCCCTCCTTTGATCGTGAAGTCCAGTCCCGCCGGGTTCCTGTAACCGCAACCCTTTAGGGTATACGGTTCTGTGTCTGGCATGTCAACGTCTTCGTCTGTTTTGGGTTCAGTGCAGCATTTCTCCACACTCTCCTGACAGTTGTCATCCTCTCCAAACCTGTTTTAGGAACAAAACAAATATTTTTTGGTTTTTAATTACATACATACTCAGTAACGAAAAAAATGTATCGAGAGTATATGTATCGAGGACGGATCGAGCGAGTGAAGCGCGTCCCTTACAACAGCGAGCGGAACACAAATATTTACATATTGATTCACCAACCTGATATCCAATTCGCCCCATCCAGTAAAGTTTTTGATTTCGGCTCTGCCTACGTCGCAAAGATAATATGGAACGCATTTACATGGCTGTCCATTCTTATCCGTGAACGTAGTCGTCGCGTCAGTAGGTTTCAGGGTTAACTGGAAAATACAGCAAATATATTTAATAGCTTAGCTTTTATATATTTAATATACTAACTTTCCGCAAGCTGCATCGCCCGCGTCGTCCTTAATTTAGTGGGATAAAAATTGTCTATATACCAAAGTTATTGTGTGAAAGAGCAACAAATATACACATATCTTTATAAACTTTTGCATTTATAATATTAGTTTGTGTGTGTGTGATCTTTGTAAATCGAGCAATGAAATCAGCCAAGCTTACCGTTTCAAAGGCTCCCGGTGTCGTCGACGTCGTCGGCGGTGTACCAAATATGGCCTCCACGTCTTTAGGGTCGATCGTGATCTGCGCGAGCGCACCCGCCATCAAGAAAGTCAGGACAATCGGGAACATTCTAGGAAATACAGGAACACAACTTTATATATTATGAAGCCTCTGTGAACACACTTACTCGATATAACGTTTGAATGAACTGAAAAGTTTGAGAACTTTATATTAATCATAGAACACAAAATGTACACTTTGTTTTAACCATTGGCCGCGTGAAGCACATTGATGAGTCAATGACAGACGAGTACTTCAGACACGTCTCTACGTGTTCACTTAATTTGGCCGGATAATCTGTATATATATAAGAATCCCTATTTATAAGAATAAGAAACATTTATTGATCTCAAAATTAAAACAAAAATATGACCCTACATTAAAGGAACACATAATACATAAGATACACAGAGGACTATATAACAGATACTTATAAGAGATCAATCAGGACTCTGCAACAGCTGATGTTGGCATGACACACAAGTGTCACACCAATGCTGGTATTCTGGCAGAGCCTGTGTGGTACGCGGAACGAACGGTACATTAATTATTCATTTAGTAAATAAATATATTTTTTGTTGTGTTTATGTTCTTATGGAAAAAGGAAATAAGAAAATTGAGTGGGAAATTTAAAAATATAATATAATGTCTAATCTAACCTTATTGCTTTGGTTAATATAAACTTTTTTAATGTAACCTTATGACGTTTGTTTGACACAGAAATTTCACTTTTAAACTAACGCGCTGCATTATGCGTTAGTTTACATACTTATAATAATTACATACATACCTATTAGGCAACATCATATACATTGCGCAAATTCCAAGATGAGTAGCTGAAGATGAGTATCTGAGGCAACGAAGGTACAACATACAGACCCGAGACAATATAGAAAAGTTAAATTTAATAAATTGACCGACCGCGAATCGAACCCGGTACCTCGGAGATGGCGAAACCGATCGGCTACGTATTGGTTTAAACCAGGTACTAAAGTTAAACCGCGTACAATAAGATGTAATAAGTCTTACACCCGTATCTGTAGTCACACTATAGTCGAATAAAAGTTTAACATATAAACAGGAATTTTAATTAGCCTTTCTTGTTTCGTTAGAATTCTCACCTATTGGTAAAACATATCTGAAGTTATTCTTCTCTCGACTAAATACTACGTATAAATACGAGAGTTATTATGTAACTTTGCCAACCAAACCTTAATTTGCCTAATTTATTTCGACCTTAACATCTCGCGAATTATTTTCTATTCGTAATCTTTCTCTGCAAATTTATAAGTCGCCCGAGTTCAACAGAATGTTCTAATTTAAGTATCATCTTTTGTTGTTTTAAGATAATAATATATATAGTAATGTTATCCTTTTGAATTTTTTATAGGACCGCTTTTTGCTTATAGGAAGGAATAAAGATAAAGCATATACTTGTTTTGAAAATAAAAAAAGGCATACAATTAACGGAAATCCTTTTCCGTGTATTAAGTTTAATTGTACATACTTAAGATATACTAATCATAAATAACATAGCATCACAGTAATACAATGAAGCAGAAAAGGATTTTACATAGTTTTATATTTCAAATTCCATGAAAGAACATAACATATCTATCCTATATTTCAAGTTTTGCTGTTTTGCTATTCTGTAATAAAGTCAGCCTGGCACTCGACTTTGAACACAGCGCTGTCACGTCGTAATTGATTGAACAGCTGTGCTGTTATAGAATTTGATGTCGAGTTCATAGTATAAAGCAGCCCTTGCTGAGTTTCTTGACGGTTCTTCTCAGTACAAAGTTTCGCTCTGTAGATTTAGGAACAGATGTGATAACATTCGACATTCACAAAAGCTTGTAACAGCCTAGCTTATTATATGATACTGAATTTAAATAAGCCGATTTTATTACAGAATGGCTACTATGCAATACCTATGCTGTATTATTAACAGAATAACATTGAACCACGCATTTTTATCTAAGATAATATGATAAAAAGGAAATACATATTTAGTTGTGTTCTTTGATAGGCTTCATAACGTAAATTCTTACACATAAGGGAAGCTACACAGGGCCGCCACATCTACAAGTCGGGCCCGGGACCCCTTTTTTTTCGTCGCGCCTCTTTTAATATTTAGATGGCTGTGATAATTGTTAAAAAGACTATGAAACCTTCTCTAACTCTACTTCTAACCAAACAATAAATTATTTATATTTCCTACCAAGTTACAGTGTTCGAATAAGAACACTCGAAGGAGCTAAACTCTTACATCACTACGTTTTATTCTACATTTAATTTAATTTCAATCAAATAAATAAAAGAAAGTGTCACTTAAGAATTGAAAATTTAAGTATTCATAATACCAACCAATTATTTAATTACCAAGTAATTACCAACCAATCACAAAACCATAAAAATGCCATAAATTAGCATGAAACGAAAATTCTATATCAAATCAGTCATAGGATTTTTTACTTTAAATACAATTATTGGTGAATAGAGGCGTATTCAGAGAAGTTCCAATTTACTTATTCCTCAAAGGTACGATTGTGGCAGAAATTATGATTGACTAAATTTTATATAATCATATTTCAACACATAATTAACTTTATTTTAATGTTATGGACGAATTAAAAAGGAAAGTCTCTGTATACAAGATGGCTGAAGGAATTAGTTGAAACAATGATTAAATCAAATATAATCTTATCAGTCTCTCTGTTTTATATAGGCCTAAAAATTATAAAATACTTTATTTACTAAATACAGGACCGGACCGGGCCCCCCTTGGGCCCGGGCCCGGGGCAACAGTACCCACTTGCCCCCCCCATGTGGCGGCCCTGAAACTACATCGTAAGCTGGTGTTATTTGTTTTTAATTTACGCGGGCGAAGTCGCAGGAAAACAGATAATAATAAACTAAAAATACATAAAAAGACAAGAGAAACATTTCCATTTATTTAAACAAAATGAAGATTTTGCACATAGAGGTAGGAAGGGTACAATTTTATGTATTCCAACTCAAAGACTTGTTGTGAATTCGAAGAACTCATATTGCATTTATAATAAATTACCGAATAAAATTAAAACTATTGATAATGTTATTACATTCAAATCCTGTTTATTTAAATATTAAATGGATAAAAATTATTATTTCATTAATGAATTCTTGCAAGACAAATCTCATTCTAAATGATTATATGAATGCTTTGATTATAATATGAACCTATTGTATCTTATGACTATGATTTGACATTTGCTATTTTTTATGTAAATTAATTTTTTGACATTTTTTTTTCATATAAAATCAGGCAATTAATTGTATATTGACTTTAATATTTGCACATCGTCTTGACGATAAAATATGCTGGTCTAAAATTGTAAAACTACCTTGTTACCATATTTTCGCAAAAAAAAAGAATTATTATTATTATTGTTCTATTACACGTTGTTAATTAGCTTAGTTTCAATCAACTTTCGGTCGAATACAATGCAATATAAGGAAAATATTTCAAGGTATTCAGTGTTAGCTATGATGTGTGTTGTTTCAAAATAGACTATTAATTGCAAATATAAAATGAGGAAATCACAAGTAGGTATAAGACAAGAAGCTTATATAAGTAGTATTTGATTAATATAGTTGTAATGTTGTGATTTGTTGAAGTAAACTTTTATTTGTTGACGTTTTGACCCTTAAAAAAATTGTAAATGAGCTAGTCTTACTTACGGCCTAGAATTGAGAATAATACAAAAAATCTCAACTAATTATTATTAAGTTTTACGTGGCAGAAAGTCATAGTTCCATCAGCCGTGCAATTCTGAATAAGTCCAGACCCGAATTCGAATTCACGTTATTCAATGTAGAATTCAATTGATTCCATTTTTTGTATAAATATACGAAACAAAATTGATTGAATTTGTTTCGTATATTGTGTCTCAGATATTTCATTTCAAAATTCACTTCACTTATGCCACGAAACGTTATAACTAATTCAAGGTTGAGCGGATGCCGCTTTCTGTTATAAATTGGGATGGTGCATTCGAATTTGGATTTTTAGAGAATCAGCAGGGCAGAAAAGAAAACCTGTTTATGAGACGTTTTAAACGGCTTTAATATGGTTTGATACGTGCTTAAGTTTAGATTTTCAATTCAGAAACCGGGTGTAAGACCATGGACTACTTGCGATTTGTACTTTTAAAAAGTATGTATCCATAAATTACGTGGCGCGAATTGCATGATTTTTTTTATGTGAACAAATATATCCCCTTGTCACATGTCGTCCATACAAATTCTATTTAATATTGTTCTAATGTCACACTTCGTCGACTCGGGTCTTTAAAATATGTGACGCAATTAATGGATGAACATCAAGCCGTGTACGCTACGCTTCAGCTGTTCTCGTGAGAACTTTGGATTAAAAAATAGATACCTTAACCTATTTAAAACACTAGAAAAAAAAATGCCTCGTCTCGAATTCACTACTATTTGAGTTGAGCGGACATAATACTAGGTTTAAATCGGACGCGGATTCAGGGATACAAGGGGTATAACTGACCCCTTAGCCCTAACATACTTAACTATTTTACATCCCCACTGCAGGGACTCCTGCCTTGCTTATGGACGATTACGGAGCATGACCCTCCACGCTGTCCCAATGCGTATTGGAGGGTATTAATGACTGCAAATGCAGCCAGGACTAACGGCTTAACGTGCCTTCCGAAGCACGGAGTAGCTCAAGATATTTTTTTTGGGTAACCCATCCTGTGACCGACTTTTGCGAAAGATGCTTAACAACAACCATCGCGAGCCGCGACGCTTCTACCCTGACCCCTTTGATTTAGGGCCATCCATTAATCAGGTGATGTTTTTTTCAGCAAGTTATAACCCCCCTTGGTGATACACGGTGAAGTTTAAGACTACCCCCCACCCCCCCTCCATACAAATCAAGTGTAATTTTAGTACCCACAAAAAATCTTAATTTTTAATACCGCTTTTCGGTTTGGTAATCGCGCATTTGAGGATAATATAAGAACACGTGATATATTACTACACCCCTCTCCCCCTTGTGATATTTCGTACTTTTTTACGACAATGTCTCCCCCTTTCGAGCCTCACGTAATTAATGGACGACCCCTTTACAATAATCTCCAAATTATTAAAATACCTACTCACAACGTCATTACATAGGTACCTTCAATTTGCAAAGGGCATCGACCCCAGTCAAAGACAGACCAGTCTTATCTCATGCTCTCATTTGAACGGAAGTTTTAATTGTTATGAGTCAGGAGAAAGATTATTTACGTGACCCTTTTTTAATAAATAATAATACAGTAAACAACTGATGTACAGTCAACAACAAATAAAGTGAGATAAAGCTGTCAAGTTTTAAGCCTGAGTGCGTTAATGATAGAGTTGAAAATCAATTCCTTAAAGGTTGTAAGTAAAAGTAATGTATTTAAGTTTTCATTGATATTTTTCAACCTTTTTTTGTATGTCAGTATGTTTTTTTGACAAAGATTCAAATTAGAAAGCGTTGCGATCTTCGAAAAGGGGTGTATAAATCAGGCTGCTCGCAAACCCATTATCATTGTTATTGACCAACTTCAAAATGGAAAAGGAGAAGATTATATGTCGACGGCGATGTGTTCTTTTTAGAACGTTCAGCGATCTGACAGATTTTTGGAATTCTTTTCTTGTTCGACAGCGTAATGTACCGAGGTGATCCTAATTTAATTTTATCGAAATCGAATTAGTAGTTTTCATTTTATAATAAAACAAAATACGCCTTTCATCAGTATCATTTCATTTTTTTTGCCTACCCGGCTCTCCACCAAGTGACACGAATGAGTATTATTATCAATTTTCCTTAATAAAATAGTATAATTATTAGATGAGGTTATCAAGTTTTATGGCACGTCATGTAAAACGACTGACATTAAACATTATAATAATTTATTTTTTAATTGTTTTTCAATATTGTAATGCAAAGTGATTAAGTCTAATAAAATAAGTTTCTATTAGACATCTTTGCATGGATTAAAAGAGCATAAAGCCCATGCAGAGTCACTTGCGCGTTTTTCTCGGTAAAAGATCTGCCGACTTAGATTTACGAACCGTCGCACAAGAGTTTGATGTGATTTTCAATTGTTTTTGGGAGAAAATTGATGACTTTACCCCTGAATCCTTCTTAATATAAAACAAGTACTGAATTTAGAACCGAGTTAAAACCATTACCCAGCAAAAATAATCAACAAAATAATGATTGCGTAAGAATTTGCCTGCAGTGTACTTGCGAAAGGTTAGTTGGATATCAGAACACACCTTTTTTATGGAACCTACATAATATAGGTTCCATCGAATCTAATCCTGGGAAAGGGGGACTGGTGAATGTTTTAAGCATTTAGCTTATCCTTACCATTTAGTTTATTGTAACCATGATCCAATCAATAAATAAATTGTTATTAGATTTGCTTAAACCAAGCATAGCTTTAATTTCGAAAAGTGAATAATAATTCCACGAAACTAAACTATTTAATCACCAACTTATCATCTCCTTTGACATTTAGCGGTAACCTGACGCGATCTCGTGTATACAATGTCACAATCTGGGTTTTCCTCATTCGTGTAAAAAACGCAAATGCTTATATCAATACGCTTGCGTAAGAGTTGATATTCAAGTTTCGACACTCACATTGATTGGGGGCAACACCTATTTCGAATAAGAAATACAATTGACTGGTGCTTCTAGACGACGGGTCTCTCCTTTTTTTTCCATGATGACGTTATTAAATCGTTTGGAAGAATTAGCACACTAGAATAGGATCAATATTATAAGTACTTAAATAAAATTTATATTGTGACAAAACATAGGTATTCAAAATCATTATGGCTAAGAATTTTAATTAGTAGTCAACTTAGGTCCTGGAACCAACTCATGAGGAGATCATGAGCTCCCTATGTAGTTTAATAGATCGCAGCATACTGACAGAGGAACATAATTTTGTTTCATTATATGTAGATAGTTAGATATATTATAAAGAAAGATTTGATTGTTTTTTTGTTTGTTCTCATCTCATTGGTTCTACTACTGGACCAATTCAAAAAATTCTTTCATTTACGGAAAACTACGTCGTACGAGGGTAGATATTTAAAGGCTTCATTTATAAAGGCGAAGAGTGTCATACTCCTTTGTGGAATAATTTTCGTAAAAATGCTTACAAACTTTTTGCTATATATTTTATTTATACCATCGGAATGCCATCACAAAGGTGCTCGTAAATAAATTAATATTCAATAAATAAGTTACAAACGAATGAATTAAATGAGTTAACTTAAAATAAACAAATGCATGTGTAAATATTTTACGAATTAAAATGTCGATCAACTCGATTCTCTTTATCAGTTACGTTTATCGCAGTAAGATGTAATATAAATTAGACGCAAAGCCCAGTTATGGACCTCTTCAATTCGACTACCTCCGTGGCCGGGTGGTTCGCCGATTTTATAGTGTCACTATCTATGTGGTCCCGGGTTCGATTCCCGGTCGGGACATTGTGGATATTTCGGTAATAGAAATTACTTAATTTGGGATCTGAATAATATAAGTGATGCGAATTATTTATTAAAATTTTATTATTAATTTATAGCCCATGTTATATTAATTTATAGAATTTTTAAAATTGGTCCAGTAATTAAGAAGCCATTAACAATCATATATCTCCTATTTGTAATATTATTATGAGGCATCTAAACTAAACGAAAAAGTAATATTTCATCAACTTTTTTCTTTTTTTTATGGGATAGGGTTAAAGTCTTATAAATACATCTTTTAACCCTTACAGTGTCTACTCATACATAGTATAAAACAAAGTCGCCTGCCCCTATTTCCCTATGTGTACTTAAATCTTTAAAACTACGCAACGGATTTTGAAGAGGTTTTTCTTCATAGATAGGGTGATTAAAAAGGAAGGTTTTGATGTATAATATAAGACCACGCGGGCGAACACGTTGGCGGAAAGCTTTACATTATAATATAGTTTTCTCATCTTTAATGGCACAGCTTATTTTGGTGTCATTAAAAAAAAAAGAAAAATATCTCTGGACTAATTTACCACTGTCACCTACAACAAATAGCCGTGACAAATAAGCAGTGGCGTAGCGTGCCTTAGCGGGGTCCCGTATAAAATTTGTTTGGGGCCCTTACCTATGTAGGGTAAAGATTTTTCACATAAGAAAAAAGTTTTTGTTTATACCTATACATCGATTATTATGGGATTCCCCCGTTACAACTTAAACGGAAATATCCTGCAGCCGGCGAAACCCGCTGTAAGGTGTTGCAAATAAAGATATTTATTATAAATTTAGACGGTCGCACCACTAGTGTCCACAGGGTATTAAAACTGATGTAGTTTGTATCATTATTATGGAACAGCCGATCTATTCAAGCTCACAGTCATCAATGATTGGCAATATTTATCACAACTCTTTTTTTACGCTTTTTTTATTAAGCCAGGCTGTTTTTCTTGCTTTTTTTATTTAAGTAGCTACGTGACTGTCTATAGTTGGAATTGCATGGGTTAATCGCTGTATAGTTAATGGCACGTCAAAAGCACTTCAGGGCCAAAATTTGACAATTTTAACATACATATAGCAACTAGTATTCAAAATCAATTGAGAGAGACATATTGTGGTAGACTGAAGTGGTAAATTACAACATCAGACAAAAAGATATGAACAAAAAATATTTGAAATTCGAATACATGTTCGAGTCGAAGTTAATAACTTGCAAATATTATTACCGAAATAACAAAAAAAAAGTGATTTTAAATTCACAAACACCCACGAAGGTAGACAACAACCTCGTTCGTTTCACAATCAAAAGTCGATTAAAAAAAAGGTTTCCGACCAAAAAGGTAATTACAATGCAAATAAGTTTAACTCGAGGTAAAAAAAAAAAACAAACCGCAAACAGCCAGCCTCTCCACAAAGGTTAGATTGTACTTACATTATGATAATTTCTGGTACTTCCAGGAATGCACTTTTTGTTTTTTTTATCTACACAGTCGCAGCTTTAACAATTTGCACTGTTTTTTTTTTTATAAATCCATGCTTTTTTCTTCGGAATATGACAAAGGTCATCCACGCTCGGACGCGTCTCGACAACTGACTTCTAATGGATATAATGACGCTATATGGCCTGTGTATCTAAAGAAACCGGTAGGTAGCTACAACGACAGAGATATTAATGATAAACAAAATCTTTCATAGGCAACTTAAATCATTAGTAGTCTTAGACAGGATTTAATTCCACGTTTTCTGTTTTATTTGATATTTTTTATATAATAATTAGGTAACACTAAAAATACTTCTCTGAACAGCGTCAAAATAAGTTTAGCCAAACGCGAGATAATCTCGGACGAAACATACAACACGTGTTAAAGTGCGAACCACCATTGTGTTTAGTTGGTTATTGTACTTTTAACCTTCTCCCAAGTCTGACAAATACTATGCTGAAAACCACATCAAAATTGGTTCAGCCAAACGCGAGATAATCGCGCACAAACATACATACATACAGGTCAAACTGGGAACCTCCTTTTTTTAACCGTAAAGCTCGCTGGCGCAGTAATTAATGCGCTCGGTCTGCAATACGGTTGTCAACCAACTTTCGCTCAGACCGGTCATAGGATGGGTGACCAAAAAAATTATTATATCGAGCTCCTCCGGACTTCAGAAGGTAAGTTAAGCCGTTGGTCCTGGCTGCATATACAATAATTAACACCAACCAATCAGCACTGGTCCCGCGTGTTGGGTCATGACCTAACTAAATATATATAACTCAAAGGTGACTGACTGACATAGTGATCTATCAACGCACAGCCCAAACCATAGGGCGGATCAGGCTGAAATTTGACATGCAGCTAGATGTTATGACGTAGGCATCCGATAAGAAAGGATTTTGATCACTTCTACCCCCAAGGGGATAAAATAGGTGATGAAAATTTTTGTCAATTTTAAACCGATCGGGCTGAGACTTTGCATGCATAAAGCTACTATGACGTAGGCATTTTTAAAAAAAAAGGTTTTGACAAATTCCACCCCTAGGGGGATAAAATAGGGGATGAAAGTTTGTATAAATCTTAGATTTTCGACTGATTTATCTGAAATTAAAGATTGGAGCTACTATGATGAATAAGTCCGCTTAAATTGGAATTTGACAAATTCAACCCCCATGGGGATAAAATAAGGGATGATGGAGGATGTATATGTATTAGGTTGAACCTATCATAACTAAGAGAACGAATAAATAAATATTCTTTAGAAATGCTGCTCAAAGTAACTTTACCACGCGGACGAAGTTGCGGGCAAAATCTAGTTCTCCCTATAAGATTCGATTCCATCCATAGGGAAAAAGATGCGATGTTCACATAAGTACATTACTCAGATCTCAAATTAAATAGCTTTTATCAGTAACACTTATATGGAAATCCGAAATAACGAAGTAACACAACCCTCAGACCAGATATATACCAAAGTAATTCAGTTTCTACCTCGTCTCCACCAGAAATCGATCCCGGTACCTCTGATCACGGAGGTATTTTTTAGTACACTTATTTTACACGCTTAATAGTTTTCGAGTTTTATCATTATTTAGTATTACAAACAAACATCAAATCAGATCTGATTTGATGTTTGTTTGTCTCATTTAATATTCATGTAGTACGATATAATTCAATTACTTTGTTAACTACGTCTCGAAGTAGATAGAACTTTAGCGACTGTACACAATCATTTTTAGGGTTCCGTACTCAAACGGATAAAACGGGAACCCTATTACTAAGACTTCGCTGTCCGTCCGTCTGTCACCAGGCTGTATCGTGAACAATGACAGTAAGGCAGTTGAAATTTCAGTTGTCGCTATTACAACAAATATTAAAATTTCGAATAAATTAAATGATTAAAGGGGCTCCCATGCATTAAACTTTTTGGGCCGATTCGTTTTTAAGGTTTTCATTTATTGATGGGGCTTTTTGCCGCAATCGCAGGCGGGTTGGCGATCGCAGTGAGTCAAAGGTCTGAAGAGACGCTACTGCCGTTCTAACGGCTATGTTCCCTTTGTCAGCATGTACGACATCCACGCGAAGAGAGGGGGTAGTGCTATTCTACACCGACACACACACGGCTAAAGTTATCAGCGGAAAATGCAAATGACTAGATGGCGAATTATTTATTTAAATTTAGGTAAAGATACCTAAATAAAGCATACTATTTTAAGAACATTACTTTTACTCTTTACAATTTCAATATCATCATAATTATCAGCCTACGTTTGTCCACTGCTGGACGTAGGCTTCTCCAAGCGGCGTCATCGAACTCGATCTTCGGCTATTCTCTTCCAGTTTTTGCCAGCTACCGGCTACACAGCGTTTTCCGATCCGCGGTCTCCACTCAAATTCGTTTGTTTCACCGATTGTCGGTTCTCTAGTTAATATGGTCTGTCTATTGCCACTTCAGCTTGCTAATCTGTTGGGCTATGTCGATTGCTTTTGTTATATGACGAATTACCTAATTTCGGATATGATTATTCAAAGAAATTCCGAGCATAGCCCTCACCGTAGCTTGCGGAGTGTGAAAGTGAACACTGAGTGTGAGAGTGAACACTCAGCAAGCTACGGTGAGGAGTGGAGTGGAGACCGCAACAGTGTTCTATCGATCTTCTTTTCGAAGTTTTTTTTTGCCCAACTGCATTATTTGCCCAAGGTAAACATATTGATCACTAAAACGTATTGTTGAACAACTTCTAGGACACTGCCTTTTAGGACCGATTATAATCTTCCTTGTACTATAATCGGATTCGATACAACGAGTTGGACATAACTTTAGTTTTGACCTAATTCATTCGAAGATCGATACGCAAAGAATAATCAGCTAAGAAATTCTCCCTTCGAAAAGAACATTAAAAATTTTTGGGAGCTCCTTCCTTACAGGCTCATCGCCTGTCACCAGGAGCTCAGTCGTGATGCCAGCCTGGCCTGGGGTTATTCCATATTTTAGCTGTTTGAGAATCGTCTCAATACCGTTCAAGCTGACTTCTGGCAAGTCCTCTGTAAAGTGGCAAGTTAGTGTGATTCTTCCATCGTCAGTTCTGGGCTCAGGCTGAGATACATGCGAAGCATACAGACAGCTATAAAAGTTTTCAATCTCTGAAAGCATACCCTAGTTTGAAGTAACAATCACTCCATTTCTATTATCCAATTTTGTCAGAAGACTTCTCCCAAAAGGCTGGACGAATAAATTTGAACCCTGATTCTGCTTAATTGCTTGGTCAATAAAACGTCTTACCAATTTGCATATTCTCTTGTTCAAAGTTGTTGTTCTGACGAAGTGGTGGGTGAATTTTCTCGTCTTTCCTTCAAGCGATGCAGGGTTCCATCTGAAAACTTTGACCTTCCGACTGTACGCTGCATTTAACAGAATTTATTGCCTTTCCCTCTTAAAATTTCGACCACACTTTCGAGGGCCTGGTTCTCATCAATGGCATTTGTGATTTTTATGGCAGGGAATCGGTCCTTCAGATTTGCCTGAAATATTACAGATCCCATTATAGTCTGGAACAAGCTTAGTCGAAGCCTGGACTTCATCAAACTAACAAGTTCGAGTTTCTGTTGATATTCAAAGAGTATCGTACGAGTCGGCGACACTACCGGTATTGAATATATTGATCACTGAAACATCTTTAAATTTATGCTTGTTGTTCGTTATAATAAAGTCTATCTCATTTTCAGATCTACCAACGGGGCTTCGCCATGTCCACTTTCTGCGAGGCGGTTTCTCGAAGAATGAGTTCATCAAGATTTTCTCTTTCTCAAGAAAATTGACTAGCGTTTGGCTCCGATGATTTCTACTACTAAACGCATAGAATCCTACTACCAATTCTCTAGAACTCTGTACTCCCACTTTGGCCTTGAATCCCCCATGATAACGCTGTAGTAAACCTTCGTGGTGGAGTGTAAGCGTAAACCTGAACAACCTTGAGATAAACCTCTCGGTTATTTTCATTATGAGGCATGCGACCCTACTCGATACACTAAAGGTTTCCACAACGTTATCAGAAACGGTTATGTTCACCAGGAACCCTTTGCCACCTCGGGATTGTTGGTCACCCTCTCGAAAGCAAAAGAGAGTCCCAATTTCAGAGTTATGGTGTCCTCTTCCTCTCTTCAAACTTCACATAACCCAAGGATGTCCTACTTTATCCTTCGAAGTTCCTCTTCTACTTGCACCAGATGTTCGTCGAGTCGTAACGTACCCTTTACCGCCTTGTTCAAAAATAGCACGGCGCCCGGGAACTAGGGAACTCGGTTGTGTTGTGTGCAGCCATGGAGGTTATGGCCAATAATCACCACGCTGGGCATGCGGGTAGGCAATCGACAATTTCAATATGGACATTTTTAACTGCAGCTTTATCGTATATTATATTATTAATTTTTCTTGTTCGACTACTACATACTACATTCAGGTCACTTTTTTGAGAAATTAATGCTAATGATGTTAAAATCTCTCAAATATATTAATACACTGGCTGTTTTTTGTCGTCAGTGACGTCACACCACGCTACGTTATCGAAAAACGTATCGGCGTCCGGGCAGTCTTTTTAATCTTTGATATTTGTTGTTATAATTAGCGTTATTGCGTTTTATGTGACTAATTTAATGCCATATGTATTTAAGCAAAGTTTTGTAATATTATTTTCCTGGTATTTCAAGTTTTCAAAGCGTAATAGTAGGGGAGCCGAAGCGGGGATTTCGGCATTTACTAAAGCGCGGCAGATTAATATACAGGGGGATACCTTGTACCCAGTTAAGTACCTGGACCAAGTATGAGCCCTATAAAAATGGCCGCCCGGCAAGGACGAAGGATCAGATTAGTAAAAAAAAACTCCGGTGCTTTTCTATTTAATTAAGCTCAATGATTTGAAAAAATTAAAAAAAAAATTTTTTAGTGTCAGTTTAAGTAAATCCCTTCAGATAATCGTCAGATTATGAGATATCACGTCTGGGGCATAAAGATGAACCATATATATCTTAATCTGACGCGCTTGAGTAGGTATTTCAAAATGGCGATTTTTTTTGCACATTCTAATAATGGTCACGCGTTTGCGTCACATCCAAATCGTCAGATTATTATATGAGAGCTTTTTTTAGGTTCACTTGACATCCCCTCAAAAAATCTGACGCGCTCGATTAAATAATTTTTTTTTTTTTTTTCATTTTCAACCCTTACTTATAACCACCCCCATCATGGAAACGATCAGATTAACATACGACAGTTTTTAAAAATGCGTAGGACATGGATGATATTAATATCTGACGCGCTTGAGTATGTCCATACAACAGTTTTTTTTTACATTTTTAAAAATCTATAGCCGCTTCCCCCACCGATGAAAAGGTATATATTATATGACATTATTTTTTTGTTATCATCTAAGCTTCGCAACCCAATAGGTCTCTATGACGCTCGAGTAAATCCCGATTTAGCATCGTGGGCTCCCCTACTATAACATTTTCCAAATTCTCTCTGTAGTCGGTCCCTCATTACTGGAGATCGTGATCACTGAAACTCGTCAAACGAACAATCCTTCTCCATCGATTCCGGTCGGAACCAGCCCTCACCATCTCGCAGAACTCGGGTACGAATGTAGCTCCTTTCACCTGGTCAGACCATCGTGTCGGTGAACGACCTCGTGAAACTACTACCCCGAATCAAAACGATTATGGAAAATGGGCCATGACTACACGGGTCCAGTGCGGATTGGCGGGGGTTAACGACTGCAGGTTTAGTCTTTCGAGGCACGGAGGAGCTAGAGACAAACAACTTTTGGTCACCCATCCTATAATCAACCAACGCGAAAGTTGCTTAACATGCAGGATCGCATACCAAACGCGCTAACCACTGCGCCACCGAGCAAATATATAATAGAATAATTATATAGATATTTATAAAATAAAACAAGCACATTTACAATACCAATAGTGGATTTTTTATTATTATCACTAAACATAACATTTACACATAATTCATTAAAAAACACGCATGTCTATTTACAAAAATGAATGCGACTATGACGCGAACTTACGATAATTACAAAATTTTAATACTACTCGTACGAATTAACATGACACCTGAAGACCTATTCTATTACTTCGAAAACTTAATCCAGTGTATTTTCGAAATGCTAATATAACTCGAAAGAAACGCATTTTTCCATAGTTTATGATGCAACGTTGGTATGACCTGACACTGCCTCTGGTGCGCAGATAATTTACACGGATACGACGATTTCAACTTCTAGAATCATTCGGAACTCTCCGAATTTTCGTTCAAGGAAAAACAGAATAGGACCTCTTGTGTCATGTTAATTGGTACGAGTTATACATGTTAATATCGACGTTTATATTATGCTACCTATCGAGCATTCAGTTGACGCCGCGACCGATAGGTGGCACTGTTTTTAAAAATAGTTATGGAAACTTACAAAATCAGGCCTATTCCTTTTGGTGCGTATGTATATTTGATTACACGAGCCTATTCAAAACATTATAGCCGTAATCTAACAACGCTTAAGGTCGCTTTTGCTACAATGTGCTCGATATAATGTTACACTACACCTAACGCGGTAAATTAACGGGAACGAGACATAAACATGTCCATAAATGTGACATGTAGTATTACACAATTCAATCATCGCCATAGGTATTTAAGACCCACTTTAGACGGCCTAATGGCTGGTCTACACGTAATTAAGTAGATATTTAACTTGATTTTAAGTGAGTACGTATAAACATACAAATAAGTTAAAGTAGCAAGTTCAAATTTAATTAAATAAAGCCCATAAGTGGTTAACTAGATGTTAACTTTCTACTTTTTACTTATTTGAGTTTTTACACGTACTTGATTACTTGCTTTTAGGTTAGAATCTACTTATCTACTTAATCACGTGAAAACCAGTCATAAGTCTTTATTGATATTTGGTTTCCCGGAACCGTTATAGATAGTGACGGGAAATAATTACAGCCGTTACGTATCGATGACTGCAAACGTCTATATTATTGTGGACATGACTCAAGGATATATGTTCAAAAATCATGTAGAGTTCTAAATGCAATTTCTTTAATAATCACAGTGAACTAACGAAATTATTTGTTTCAACAACGAAATCTGAATTGGCTGAGATTTTTTTGGTACAACGAAATTAAGCAGTGGTTATATTAACATCTTTAGTGTCCGTAAGATCGAAAAATATATTATTTCCTTCCTGATAATTATTAAAAAGGAGAGGCAGATGTTTCAGCCGATGCTTACACTTTCTTAAGAGAGAAGAAGAGGTCAGTAACTAGCAACAATCGTTTTATGTAATAAACGGATGACGCAAAGGCAACGCATAAGTGCAGAGATATGATCGGACGTCACGCATCATGCAATTTATTAGGAGACCTATTATAAACCATTACATGACGAAATCGCGTTACCCGTACCAATTTACCTCTTATAATATTCTAACAATCAAGTCCCGGTATCGCAGGCATATCCATACTATGACAACATACTGTTTAATGAGTGTACGAGTCTTTATTTACAAATTTTCATGTAAGAAATGTAATAACGTCGCTTCGTAATGCTTCGCGGCGTGCACCGCCCGTAATGAATGGCGCTCTCCAGGATATATCTGAAAGATAAAAATAATAATAATACTGGACACTGCAAATTAGGCTAATGCAAACAATAGGGATGATGACTAACGTTTGTTTGTTTGTCCGTCAGGTAGAGTGTTAAACAATATTAAACACGTATTTTTTTTATTTTTTTCGTAATCATAAAATACGGCGTTACATTGAGTTGAAATTTCGCATGACGTCACGTTAGAGTACGTTTTCCACTCAAATGTGACGTAGCGAGCCCCCACTCCTCAACTTTAATGCCTGTTATCTAAGCTATCTCTTGTTAAATTGAAGTAAAAAAAAATACGTATCTAATATTTTTCTATTATCTGACTGACGGACTAAAAAGAATTGCATTTTTTTTACCCAGTCATCATCCCTATTACGATCACAACAAACAACGATATTTGGATAATATTATACATATCTATATCTAGTCTTAATTAGAGAAAAACTTTACCAAGAAGCACAAATTTAATAACACATGATGGTGAAGATGATGGTCATTCTAAAAAAATCAAAACTAAGAGAGCTTTGTAAATGACGGTTCTATTAAAAAAAAAAAATAGCAAAAAATGTCAAACAAAAACTGGCAAAAATATACTTCTTACAACGCATGAAGGTTGAAAAATATAAACAACAATACACAAGTAAGCATATCTCATGCTTTTACATACACTAACAATAAATCTTCGTCTCGCTCTAGATCCTCTGATCTTCGTCTCGGCTTTTGGATTGGTTATTTACTTTGTAGCAATTAGTTTGACTTTCATGAATAAAATACAATTCACCTGTACTCGGTGAGGTTTGCCCAGTCTTACGAGTTCTGCGAGTAACGCGGCTGTATGACAGAAATGCACATTCTCGTCGGCCAAACCGTGGATTATCAACAGTCTTCCTTCCCTGTTAAAATAACATATAAATAAATAGATAGAACACAAATTATTCGTTAATACGGCAAGAGATTATTTATTTATAGCTAGTTATATCCATATTAGAGTAGCTCGATGACGTAGTGGAGATCGTAGTCGTCGTTCGCAAAGGTCGGTCACGGGATGGGTGACCAAACAATTATTATCACGAGCTATTCCGTGCTTCGGAAGGCACGTTAAGCCGTTGGTCCCGGGTGCATTTGCAGTCGTTAATACCCTCCAATCTACATTGGGCCAGCGTGGAGGGTCATGGCCTATCCTCCTAGACCATCCATAAGGCCTGAGCCCCTGCAGTGGGGACGTAAAAGGGCCGATGTTGATGATAATATCCATATTAACATATACGTATGACGTCATACACCTGCTATAGTTCTATCAACTCATTACTGATTACATCTAATATATATAATTTTATTGTCACAGCTTTCGCTACCAAACTCCTCCGAAAGGGCTTGACCGATTTTGATGAAATTTTACATGTATATTCAGTAGGTCTGGGAAAAGCTTATCACTTTTTTATACCCCTAAATGATAAGGGTGGGCCACCCCAATTATATATGGCAAAACAATATTTGCCGAGTCAGCTAGTTGATTATAAAAAAAAAAATTAAAAACTCACTGATCAGGGAAAAATGGCGCGTGCGCTAACACACTAGCTCTTGTGTAGGAATGAGGTGCGCTCGCTGGCAGTCCCATGTATCTATATAAATAATAATATGATTCAATCTTTATATATGTACCTTGTCCTTAGTCCTTGTATACTTTAGCATAATTATATTTTGTATAATTTTAATTCGAAATAAAAGAACCGATACAAAAATCGAACTGAGCAAAATAAGCTAGCGTACCGCGGCAGCAGCCACAATACACATTAAACAAGTTTTGTAAAATGATTTAGGCTTTGCTTAATTATTATAATGTTTAGAAAAATTATGCGAAAACCGTAACAGTAAATAAAAATGCAATAATTCAACTGTAATATATTGAAATCGATTTCATTATGCTTTAGAGAGGGGCGAGTATGAATGATTCAATCGAATAACTTTCGAATTATTCAAACACAAATAAATATCGATATTTATTTTCATTTCAATAATTCTTTCAAGTTGCTTGTTTAAAGAAGCTACTCAGTTCAACACTGTTATTAATTTTAACATTAAACACAAAAATCATAACGATTACTTCTCGACATTCTCTAGATATTTTTTTCTTATTCAAATGAGCACCTCTATTTTTTAGAAAAATACTTTAAAATTCACCAGCTTTTAATTTTTCCTCAAAGTCACTATTTATCATTCATTTCTGCATTGTGAATGCAAAAATAAATACCAAAATAATCCTTTTAATACACAAAAACAAAGCGTTTTCTTAAATCACGGCGGTGCCAAACATTTTGTCTTCGTTGGTCCTGGCTGAATTTGCAGTCGTCAATACCCTCCAATCCGCATTGGGCCAGCGTGGAGGGTTCATGGCCCATACTCCTTAGCCATCCATAAGGAAGGCCTGAGCCCCTGCAGTGGGGACGTAAAAGGGCTGATGATGATGATGATGAAATTTCCGAATAAAACTTTGAAAGAATGCTTCGAATATCAAAGTTACTATAATTTAGAACGAAACGTATTATTGTAATAATCATTCGAATGATCAATGTTTATTCGAATACCAAACGATGATTCCATCGATATTTTAAACCGATAATCTCCCATCACTATAGTGTGCTCACCTCTCAGTGTATGCAGTGTCGTATAACCGCCAACTGGTGACCGGCGCTCCGGCGACGCATACTTTGAATATATTCGGTCGAGTCGCCAACCCGAGTAGCGATAGGTAACCACCTACACCGAATCAATATAATAATAATTATTTTCAAAAAATTATATTTATAGGTTTAAACTCAATATTAAAATTGAGTTGTTTCTGTGCCTGAATGAGGTTTATATTCTAAACCAGAATCTCAGGCTCCAGCGCTCGCTCCCTAATTATACAGTCTTAGTATAAGTATACAACATTTGATAGTAATAAATATCTAAATCAATATAAATTCAATAAATATAAATTATCTATTAATAAATCGTACGTTGACAACGAGTGACACAAAAAAAATGCTATTTTGAGTAAGGGGCCGTCCATAAATTACGTCACCCCCCCCCCCTCCTGCCACATGTTTGTCTATACAAATTCTACTAAATATTATTCTAATGTCACAGTTCGTCCAACCCCCCCCCCCTCCAAGTAATCAGTCCGTCTAAACAACGTAACGTCACTACGCCACGTAGCAGTTTCTATGCAAACTACGTTCACGGGGATCTTTGAATTTTAAAGTTTATACTTAACAAAGAAAAATGTTGCCAGAAGTAAAAAATTAATCAAATATTAATAATAAAAATTAAAATAATTTGAGTTTGAGTACCTCTCGGTGTGTAAAAAGTGGATGTGAGTGTGTGTGTGAGAGAGGGTGTGTGAGAAGTGGAATTACCATTTTATCTTTATACTAAAATCCAAAGTTAACTAGTTTTCACTTCCATAATTACGTATAATATAGAAATATCTTAAATATTAAAATACTAATTTATAGTACCTTTAAGTAGTCCATTTTTTTTTATCTACCACCTTACTAGACGTGATTTATAACAAGTTGCACAAACGTCCATTAAAATTGACATTAAATTAAAGCAACATTACCGATACCAATTTGACTGTGGGGAACTTGGCCCACGTTCTCTTTTAGTTTATTTGCAGGTATTTAGTGATGTTTATAATAAAACGATATTGTATCTTTGGTAATATATTTGGATCTCTGGTTTTTCTTCATGTGTCAAACAGACAACTATCAGTTTTTCGCTATGAGCTATAAAACCTTACTAATCTATGACATTGACATTTATTAGAGTTTAAAGGCGTCATTAAAGCTTAAGGCGTCATAAAAACGGACCGTCAGTCATAGGATACGATATATTAGCGATGTTAAGGCGAATTTCGTTTCATTTTTATTAAATGGATAAAGAGCCTGTTGCACAAACGTCCATTAAGGTAAAACGACGCTTTTATGTTCTAATGAATGATAAATTTGTATGGGTAATGTCGCTTTAAACTAATGAAGAATTTAATGAACGTTTGTGCAACTGGTTGAAAGATTCTTTATCGATTTAGTGACATCTAATTTTTCACCTAAAAATTTACTAACGCGTCTAGTTATGTGATGTAACTGTAAACGTTGCTTATTTTTCTACTTATATCATATCGTATGATTAAGTCTTAAAATAAAGGCAGGACAAAAATTGCGAAGCTGATTATAATTTTTAAAACAGTTCTATGAAAATTACCCCAATACGATTCGGACCCATTTCGGTTTGCTGTTTTGTCGTTCATTTCAGTCTCTTAAAAAAAACAGATGCCTGCAGATTCAACCATACTACAAAAGGTACCGCTAATTACAATCATTGGCTATTATAAATCATCACCTATAATAAATATGTAGAACTCTTAAAAATTTACCTGACACCTGAGTCAGAGTATAATAGAGAGTGCGTTCTCTTCATACATACGCTGCGAAGAAAGGTTTGTATTTGAGCACGCCCGTGCGTATGCACGAAGTAAGCAACAGCCTTACTATTCTTCTTTTACTATGCCCGAGTGCCTATTCTATTTATCCTAGATCGTCCATAAATTCAGAAAAAATTCTAATAGCTCGATTTTGTTAAAACCAACGCTGAGAATATATGTATGATGCACATCAGAAGGAATGTCTGTTTCTACCACCGTTTTTTTTTTAAGGTATAGGGGGCAGACGAGAGACGGATCACCTGATGGTAAGTGATTACCGTTGCCCATGGACACCTGCAACACCAGAGGGGCTACAAGTGCGCTGCCGGCCTTAGAGGGAAGGGTTAAGGGGTAGAAGGAAGGGAATAGGGAGGGGTTGGGCCTCCGGTACCCTCACTCACACGACAAATACAACGCAAGCGTTGCTTCACGTCGGTTGCTTCCTAAATAATCTAAAAATGCGTTTCTTTCGAGTCGTATTAGCGCTTCGAATATAAACGAATTGTTAATAAAATCTCCTTTTGAATCACAGTCTTTTATTTCCAATATCAGTTGTAGATCCGCTATTTTTATAAATTATATTTTTTTGACCGTTTTTTCTTTATTATCATATTCCCTCCTACCGTCACCTTTCTTTCTTTCTTTTTTTTTAATATTCAATGTCATCCGATAGTTTGTCATAATGCCAAGATTTAAAAAAATATGAGATAGCTTACAGAATGTCGTTGTCGGGGTAGCAGAATAGGTGTTCAGGTGTCATGTTAATTCGCACGAGTGGTATATCCCTTACCGTAGCTCCAGCCGTGTATTGCGATTCGTTCCATGTCAATGCAGCCGGTCTCCTTAGCCAGCCACTGTAACACTTCTACCTAAAACGTAAATATTTCACGATAAGTTTTTGTAATAGTTAATTTTTTTTTTCTTAACTTTTAATGAGTGTCTATTTTAATTTCTTATATGAATTTTCGTAGTAAAAAACTATAGTTATGTCTATAAAATCGGACATTACCTTCAGTCACTACGAGTGTTATACAGGTTGTCACTAAAAGTATTATACAGGTTGTCTCTACGAGTGTTAATTCAAAGTCAAAGTCAAAATAATCTTTATTCAAATAGACTTCTTAAAAGTGCTTTTGAATCGTCCAACATTTTTTTCCCTACCGCTCGTTCAGGACGTCTTTTGGCTGATAAGAAGAACAAGCAAGAAACTCACCAGCTCTAATAGGAGTAAAATGACATTTACAAAAAAATGCGTTATACAAATATTATACAGATTGTAACTACGAGTTTTATACAGACTGTCACTACAAGTGTTATATATGCATTATACAAGTTGTCACTACATGTATTATACAGGTTGCCACTACGTGCGTTATACAGGGTGCCAATACATGTGTTATACAAAATGTCACTACGTGTTATGCAGGTTGTCAATACGTGTGCTTTACAGTATGTCGATGTAATGCTTATTGACTCACCTGGTCGTCCAGCTCGACTTGTCCCATCTTGCCCTTAATGGCCGCCTCCCACGCGCGGCCGCGGTGTTTAGACCCGCGCGAGTCTACAGAGACTACGTTGAAACCGCGCGCCGCCAACATGTGCATGCGCAGCTGACGTATACCCTGAACGAATAACGACCACCCTTTATTTATTTATTTATTTTATTAGAAAACCAACAGCTTTTTTTAACACAAGATATTCCATAAAGCTAAGCAAGTAACAGATTTTCCTTAAATTATATCAATTGTTGTGTCGTTGATTATTTATTTATTTTTATTTATTTTGTTTGTTACACATGACAGAATTACAACAATATACATAATCAAGCAATAAAAAAGTTAGCAATCAGATGTAGGCTGCAATTCCACAAATATGCGTAAACAGCATGCACAATCAGAGCAACAACATTTAAATCAAAATAGCTTAATTTTTTTTTCCAAATTAAAAATATTTTATCTTTTACATTAATTAAAATAACAATAATAATAGTAATTATAATCCCATTCATCACATATAAAAAAAGGTAAAAAAAAATCATTACATTATCTATCATTTCACATTTCATTGACAAAAGATAAAACATCAATAAAAAAATTTAAAAAAAAACAATAAAGATAATTAAGATAATAATAAAAAAAAGATGGATTAAACTTATGATTCAAAATATCGATTAAAATAAATTAATAATATATTTCAATAAATAATTAAGACAATAATAAACAAAAAACAGATTAAAATCGTGATTAAAAATTTAATTAAAATAAGATTCAATAAATAAATGCGTTAAATGACAGTTTAAACAGCGCTCAACGTTGCTGTTTTTTTTTTAAATACTTCCAACTACTAATAGATGAATGAAAGTTGAAAACGAGCAATCGTGGAATGAAGAGATCAATTTTCAATTTTGATTTTCCGTAATAAACACATATGATATACACATATCATACACAATATTATCACTAAATAAATTATTTAAATAAACATACACATTATATTCCAAATTTTAATGTTAATAACAAAATTTGTGCAGCCTATCAGTGTTACCAAGACCTGTTTCATATCAAGAAGAAAGAAGCGGAAGCAATCGATAATTGATAGTTTCTTTAAGACTAAAGTGTAATTTATTATTTCTCATTGCATATTTTGATTATTAAAGTTTCATAATAATTATTGAAATTCCAAAAATAAACTAGCAATATCATAAGTACTTTTACAATTATTTTAAGAGTATTTACTTTTCGTAATAAAGTATGTATATCCTTTGTTATAATATAAATGTAGTTTTTTGTTCATTTTGAGTCCGTGTGGAACCTAACCCTTGAGTTTTACATATGAAAAAATATGTCTCGGCTTACGTCGTTTCGCATTTCGAAAATCTAATATGCCATAAGTACGAGGACTGCCTGTACATCGAAATGCTTAAGGGCGGGACGGGGCGTGGCGGTAGGGGCGGGGCGGGGTGGGGCGTGGCGGGAGGCGTAGGGGCGGGGCGGGGCGGGGCGTTACCTTGTAGCTGTTGGTGACGGTCTGCACCTCGGGCCCCCCGTACACATGCAGCACGGTGGGGCTGCGGCCCGCGCGCCCGCAGCGCCACAGCGTGCAGTACGCGGCCGCGCCGCACGACAGCCGCGTGCACAGGATCTGCGCGGGGGGGATGCCCGCCGACAGGCTGTGCTCTGCCCACGTGCAACGTGTGACATCGTTATATGCCAGATCTCCAACGGATGTACTGAACAACTTTTACTATGGAAGCAATTTTACTAGGGAATTCGCGAAAAAAAAAAATATTTTTCAATATTCAAGTTTGAATATAATTTTCGGCTGTTTGGGTGGATGCCTGAACATTGATAAGAATACGCTCTGTAGTAGCGAAAAGTAACAAGTGCTTGAAATATTCGTCAGTCCTGTTTGGTCCTGAGCAGTTCAGTAGTTAGAGCAGCCGCCCGGATTGGGAAAGGTAATTTTTTTAACATTTATCATTATGAATATTTTCCAAAATTAATCCAATATAATAAATAATCAGCTGTTTCATACTGTCAACGATTGTAGGTGAAATTAGTGTTACTCCCATAGTAAATGTTATTCAGTATACTTAATTAATCAATATCATGCTCCGTGTACCGAATAACAAACAGGGGGCTAATAGGGCTCACGACAAATTATTGTCTGTCTATCTGTCCGTCAGGTAGATTTTTTGAGCAATCAATAAATAACGGTTATACATTGAATTAAAATATCACATGAATTTTTAACGTACGTAGTTGTAACGTAGCGAACCCCTACTCTTTCAACATTAATGTCTATTATCTAAAACATATTTTGATAAATTGTAACAAAAAAATATATATATCTAATATTGCTGGAAAACAAAATCGAAACGTTAAAAGGCTATAAGACACATTTAGTTAAAAAAAAAAATAATAGCTTATGTGTACCATTTACAATACGACGGACACAAAGAGTCTGATAGGATGATCTTTTTTTATGTTTTTTATTTCTCTGTTATTTGCAGTTTCCCATTCCTGTACCTTTTCTCTTTAGAAAGTGAATTTTGGTATATGTACTTATAGTTAGTATCTTTTTTAACTCCTTCCGTTTTGCGCTCAACTTCTAATTTCTGCAGTAAATGACAAGCTTCATCAAATTGCATTGGACCCTTGTGGTGAGTTTAAGCCTATCCCGCCTATTTGCTTCCAAAGAAGGCTTGTGCCTTTGCAGGGATGTTAATAGACGATGATGCGGATATTTTGTGCTATATATTACATTATTAAACATTTAGATCCTTTGTAGATGTTTCTTATTATGATTGATGGACTAAACAGATTCCTTTTTTTCCCAGTTATCATCCCAATTATCACATTAAAACCTGTGGAGGGATCCTTTTCAAATTCACACTACAATTATTTGAGATGTGATTATTATGGCAGATATTTGATAAAGGATATCGTAAACTTAAACTTAATTTTAGCCTCATTAATTTTAATTTTAGATATCTTTAAAAGATATTGAAAAATGTCAAACAAAAAGAATTTAATGTTAACTGAAATCTTTCAAGGGGTTTAACTAAGTTTTTATTGTTTCATAATCATTAAAATCACCATTCGTTCCAAAAGCTATTGAGACTTTAGAAGTTACTTAATTCCATAAATCGCTATACCTTTCAAAATTGTTGTGATCCATTTTAAAAGTAATACTAAGTGCAGTCTCAGTGTAACGCTGAACATTGTTTATTAATAACACTGCTTAAGTTGAAGTGTGCGTCTTTTAATTGAGACGAATTCCAATATTCACATAGTTTCTCGAATATTATAACATAATACGAGTATCATCATTATTTCTTGGTGTTTAATTTGACTTATTATAATTAAATTGAAACAAAGGTCTTATTGTTTGAATGCGGTTTCTTGTAGTTGTTTTAATTAGGATTTAACTGTCGTCCGGCTTAAGAATTGTATGCAATTTGAGATTTGTGAGTCTAATTATCAAATTAGACAGTGAAATTTTCACAGAGGATGTATTTCTGTTGCCGGTTTCACAACAAATACTAAAAAAAAAAAAAAACATAATAAAATAAATATTTAAATCCTTCGTGCTCAAACCAGACTCGCATTTGACCGAGTATTTTTTTTTTAATTTCATATTTAAATACTAATAATTTAATGTTTATCTGAAATTTTAACAAAAATTTTCATGTACATTTAATAATAATGATCAAACTGTAGGTATATTGTTAAAAATAAGTAACGGGATATTTATAATAGACAATCTCCAATGTAAGAAGAAAAAACTTAAATATGATTTACAATAAATACTTCAAATTTTCCCTGTATTTTAAATTGTCTTTACAAATTGGCTATTACACTAACTTATAAAGCTTTGTTTTTGTGTTATTTATTTAATTACCTCTCATCAACAGTCCCGTCTCGCTACAGTCTGCATCCTCATCACCAGATCTATGCCACGAACCGTTGCAACCGAAACGGCGACTCTCAGGGAACTCTGTGTGAAACATACATAAAGTATTTTACTGATTGCTGGTTAATTTCACAGATTACTTTAGTCTAATATTAAATTGCGAAAGTTGTCTTTGGTTGGCTGAATGTATAAAGACTACAAGCAAAAAAAAATTAAAACACTCTCAAAGGCAAAAGGTGATGTATTCGTAAATTGAATATTATATATTATTACGAAAAAAAAAGGACATCGATAGCCCGAGAACTTGTTTATAGACCAAGTCTTCGCCGAATCGTGTTATTGTAGCAATGAGGTGTCGGATGACATCGATATCGTACTGCCAACCAGAGGGGATAATGCCCGAGTGAAAAAAAAAGGAGTCCTATTTAGTCCTTCATTCAGATAACAGAAAAATATTAGATACGTATTATTATTTTTAAATAATAAACATTAACGTTGAGAAGTGGGATCTTTTCAACGTATCGGCGTAATTTACTGATAAAGCAAAAAAAAAGGTGTTTAATATTTTTCATTAAACTGCCTGACAAACAGACATAAAGTTTTAGCCATCTTTCCTAATATTATAAAGTGAACTTTTGGATTTTTATAAGTATTTAGTGTAATAGCGATATTTTCGATGGTTTAGCCTGCATATAAGCAGTTAGAATGGGTGATCAAAGATTTTAAAGCACTCAAATCCGGAGTTTTCCTTGTAGGATCCCAGTTCCTCCACCCCCCGCCCCCCCCCTCCCCATTCTTTGAGGGCCATATGAAAAAAGTTCTGTACCCCAACAGTGAATAGGCTGACGATGACATTTGTTAGGCACATGTTAAAGAACTGATAAGTTTCTTTCGCTTGTTCTTCTTGTCAGGTAAAAGACGCCCTGAACCAGTGGTAGAGGAAAAATTTTTTCTTCGGACGATTCAAAAGTTCTTGAAACAAGCTTACTTGAATAGAGACATTTTCATTTGATTGTTACCTGGCAGCTGCTTCTCCATGAGCGTGCCCTGCGGCTGCAGCCGGCACAGCCCCCCCTCGTGCAGGATGCGGAACACGCGCGTGCTCGGTACAGTGCTGATGTTGGACGACGTTATCACCGCCGTACTACAATCCTGGTAAGGGCACCAATTTTATTTGTTCAAATTATATATATTGCCTAAAACGGGTAAACTACAATAAATACACTTGATTCAGGTAGTGTTTAATATACTATTACCGATAAATCAACACTTTTATGAATTATGAAAAGAAAAAAAAACAAAACCCTGGTTGGCTGTATCATTGATACAGCCATATTTTATGCGTGGATACGTCTATGTATGAATGGATATATGAGTAATTGATAAAAAAATAAATAAACAAATTGAAGACACTAAACACTAAATAAATAAATATTCGTTGCGTTCATTTGTTGAATGAAAAAAGTATTCACTAGCGCCAACAGATGGCGTTAGTGCATATACTCCTGCTGACAGAATGCCCCTCCCCCTGCAGAGCAAGCTTAGTTCACTTATACGCCAATAGATGGCGTTAGTGCATAAGCTCCTGCTCACAGAATGACCCCCCTGTAGAACGAAAACATAGACGTATCCACGTCAACATAAATTTTATATTGCTTCTCACGTGACCGCAAACGGCGCGTGGCATCACGCCCTTACACATATCAGAATTTAGAGAATTCAACCTTATGCATACCTAAAACGATATCGTTTTCAGAGTGTCGTGACGTCATACCGACGCCATGACAGAAGTGACATTATCGCGGGAAATTTTATAAATTTAAAATGATACTTCTTTTTAATGTTTTTTTTTTTAAATATATTTCATGCATATCTATAAATTATTTTTTTTTTTTTAAATAAGTTGTCTTCGCCCCTATTAAAAGGTACCAGGGGTACAAGAATTTTTAAAACATTTAGAATGTAAAAATTAAGAAATATAAGATAATAAATTATTTATTATAATTACACTCTACACAGAATAATTTTTAAAACACCATCGATTTTGCAGTTTTGACATAACCCAATACTATACAATAAAGACTTATATTTCTTTTTACATTATCGTTCTATTAACAAGCAGATATAGAATAGATAAAATTAATAAATAAAAATACAACCATGAGCCAGTGAAAAGAGCGAATGAATGAACGAAATCTTTATTGTACACGACAATAGGGATGACGACTACTTTTTTGTCTGTTTGTCCGTCAGGTAGAATGATGAAAAATATTAAACACACGTTTCTTTTTTACTTTTTTTCGTAATCATTCAATGAGGAAGTATTAAAAAATCAAACTAGATGTCGCTACGGTACGTTCTTGATTTCTCCATGACAACCTTTCCGGTTTTCTTTCATATTTAAAAGTAATTTGTTTTCAAAACTCAGTAAACAACTCATTTTCTATTTACTTTTTCGTATTTGTGATATCGCTACCTCCGGAGAATAATATGATAAAAACGATTGTCATGTTTTTAGTGTTATTGCATTTTTGAGCTCCTCGTGGTCCAATACACCTTGTGAATTTTTTCCAGATATTTCCTACGAGTATTTACAAAGATACAAAATATTAGCATGATATTCAACGAATTCAATGTTTTTATTTATGCCTAGAACAACAATATTTAATACATTAGCAACATAAATATAACTGTTTACGCAGACATTGTTACTTTATCATGTTATTCGCGTAAGAAAATCAGGCGATTGTATTGATATATGCTATTAGCATGGTATTCTTGTACAAACACAACAGTTTAGATAGGTTTCTCCACCGGTTTGACAAAAATTTTCTATATGTAAGTAATAAATTTTTTAGGTATGTTCATCAAACTTAACAATTACCTACACCCATCTACGATTATCTGTCACAATTTATTTCTTTTACGTTTTATCAACAATAAATACGTAAACAGACGTAAACTTATTACATCATTATCTAAGAAAAATATTGTTTTAAATATTAAGCTAAAAAAGTATTATATTAAGTATTATAGACTAGGAGATCGTGACGACAATGGCAATTTATAGTGCAACACACTTCAGCAGAACCTATAAAACGTATGACATTAGACCGCAAGAATAATATAATTCAAAGCGTAAAATACTATTTACCCATAAATAACACGAAATTACAAGAATGTAGACTATTTTTCAAAAATACATTGAATGTAACACATCAAACTATATATACTGCTTTAGAAAAAGCTCAATCTGCAAATGGTTTTCATGACCGTATACTGAAGATAGTATAAAGAAACATATTGAACTATTCCCCACAATTGAATCACATTATGTCAGAGAAAAATCCCAAAAACTATACCTTTCATCATACTTAAATATTTCAATAATGTATCGTTTTTATAAAGATTGGTTCAAGAATCAAAATTACGATGAAGACATAGAGATTGGAACACTAAGACAATACCAAACTGTTTTTAATACTCACTACAATTACTCCTTTTTGTGCCCAAAAGAGATTTGTGCGGTAAGTGTGAATTATATAAACAAGCTGATGATAACAAGAAACAATTGTTGCAAGAAGACTATGATAAATATATAAAAAACAAAGAAAGAGTTTGGAAACTGAAAGAGGAAGAAAAGAAGAACCTTGATCATAATAAAAGTACAGTTGCAATTTTCGATTTGGAGAAGGTGTTGAGTATACCAAAATTTCAAGTAGAAATATTACACTACAAAAGGAAATATCCAATTTACAATTTACTGTCTATAACTCGGTGCTCCGACAAGGATTCTGTTACGTGTGGCACTATCAACTAGCAAAAAGAGGAGCAATTGAAATTGGCAGTTGATTGTGGCAGTTTTTGAACACTGAACATGAACGTGGCATTGAACATATTTCCTTTTATTCTGATGATTGTGCAGGCCAAAATAAGAATAAATTCATATTTGCTCTTTAAATTAAATCGATTCTTTAAAACTGGACACGGGCAAAGTGAGGCTGACAGTATGCACTCTTGCGTAGAAAGAGAAAAATAAAAAGATATACACCCCAGATCAAATGTAATTCAAAATGCAAAGGCTACCGGCAATATATTTATAGTTAAAGAAATGGAACAGTTCAATTTCTATGACATTAAAGTTCTTGTTGCGGGAAAACATTGGGTGCGAGACGTACAAGACAATAAAATTTTATGGTTTAAAGTGATGGAAGTTAAGGTGTTTAGCAACGAACCAAAAATTTTACGCTATGAGTATGATTTTGATAATGATTATTCCATTTTAAACACAGAAGTTTCATCAAGAGTTATGGAACGAGTCGGCCGTGGTCGAAAAACTGCAGCAGCTTCGACTGCAATTTATGATGTTGAAGACTTAAAATGTGCTTACAGTAAACTGATTCCAGTTACTAAAGCTTTATACAACGATTTAAAGAGTTTGTGTTCATGTGAGGTTATACCTCGGCACTATCATTCATTCCATACGTCTTTGATATCGACAGATCAAGAAGTATTGTCATCAGAAGAGGAGGACGAATTACCTTAGTTATAAAAGTCCCATAGTTTGATTCCCATGATGAGTCCCACGATGATTGATCCAATTATAATTAATAAATCATAGTCTGATAATTTTCTTTTTAATTTAGAAGTATTTGTCTTTAGTTTAAAAATTAAAAAAAAAAAATAGAAGTTTTTGTTTTATATTCATTAAAAAGATTATTTTGAGCACTGGATATTTTTTTTAAATTACCCTGAATAACATTCTAATCGACTATTAGCACATACTCTCTCTCAGGTTATTTTACCAGAATAACATGACAATAGTTTATTATTGTAAAACATTTTAAGTGTCATTTTACTAGAATAACATGACAATAGCGTATTATTTTAAAACATTTTAGGAAGGATTTTTGCTAATATTTATTTTTGCGATTCTTTCGATTCTTGTAAGTGCTTTTCCACGAAACATAACTCACATCGTTACGCTAAAAAATTAGCTTTCATTTGATATATCATTCTTCGGGATAGCTTTTCAAACAAAGGAGTTATTAAACAAAATCGGTTTTTTATTTTTCCTGAACATTTTGGTTTTTGCAGTTATCATATTATTCTCCGGAGGTAGCGATATCTAAGTTTCGAACTTTTCAAATTTCAGTTTTTTTATATGTTAGTTAAAAGGAACGGAGATGACTGTCTTTGGTCCATTTGTTTCCTCCATAAATCACTTTTTGCTACAGTCGCCATCTAGTGGAGGTGCTTTTTTAATGCTTTCGTTTTTTTTTCAATACTTCCTCATTAAGGCGACACATGGAGTTAAAATGTCACATGACGTCCCTCTTTTCTTCATTTTCTACAAAACGCCTGCCTTTAATGCCTGTTATCTAAGCTTTTTGGTGTTAAATTGAAGTATAAAAAAATGCGTATCTAATATTTTTCTATTATCTGACTGACGGAATTAATAGAATTTTTTAAATAAAACAAATTTTAAACGGTTTCATAGCGTTTGTATTTAGTTTTATTGACGTAGATTTTTTCTTACTCAGTCCTCATCCCTATTATAAAACATAACAATTGATATAGTTTAGTTGTAGATTTTTTTTTCTGTTCTTTTTAAGGTTTTTTTTTTTATTATTGTATTTTATATTTTTTCAAGTTGTATATTGTGTAAGTGATGTGTGTTGTCCAAATAAATGAATTCTATTCTATTTTATTTTATGAGCAGCATGAGGTCTGGAGTGGCACATACCTGATCGATATCTACAGTGCAAGAGTATCCCACGTTAGTGAGTAACGTGATAGCATGAGGTCTGGGCGGGTTGTACGGCGCCACGTACAGATGGCGCTCTAGTGGAGTCTCGCGGAGCCCTACGAAGTATACCAACTTGCGGGCCTCGTCCACCTGTTGAGGAAACACATTACTTATTTTTACAATAGTTATAATAGGGCTGTCAAAATTTATTATGGTACGTCAAAGTTAAAAGTATCTTAATTCAAATCGGCAGTAAGTTCAAATTAATATGGCGCCGTTATAAATTCTAAGATATCCAAATATAATGAGTCTTATTTCATTAGCGATAAGGTGTAAAATACAAGACTTTCTTCGGTGCCAGAAAGTTTATAAAGCATCTAATACGTACTTACACTAAACCTATTTAAATATATATATATATATATATACTCACCCATATCTTCCTGCCCATGACTTCCCATTCTCCGGCGGTGATGGGCTCCTTGTTCACTATGTTAGGACCCACTGCGTTACTCTCGTCCTCACTTATAATCTCTATAACAGCTGAAAACGATATCATTTATTATATTCTTAATGGAAAATGTTTAAAAAATCTGCTTTCTCCCTGGCACCCTGAGATAGGACTCGAACACATGACCTTTCGCAATGCGGGCGACTGCTCTAACCACCGAGCTATCTAACAGCAGCTGTGACAGCTGTCTCTTGGTCATACATAACTAGAACATGGAATATTCGTATAATTTTAAATACTCAACGAATATATTTCCAGTTTTTATACTAACATAATAAAGAGAAAATATTAAATAATTATATGAATACTGTTGGATATTTGTTGAACTATATTAACAACAAACAACTATTATCTTGACACTTTCTTTATTTACTAAACTTGTATTTACGTTAGTAACAAATATTTTATAGCATAAGTAACAGGCAAAAGGAACGTATTATAACTGATAATTAATATAATTACGGAGCTGACACAATCACTGTCTGATGACCAGACGACAAAAGGGGCGAGAGATCAGAAGGAGCGAGACAGCTATACAAATTAAACATTAGTATTTGAATACTAAACAAATACCCTATTATTACTACTACATTATGCCAGCAGAGGGCCCTAGTATCGCTACGGCTGCACATCGGCGCCCTCTAGCGGGAGGAAGAAAAAACGGTTATCGACTATATTCATAATTTTAAAGTCTCGGCATATTCATGAATACTTTTTGAAGACAGAAATAAAATCCATACAAACAAAAAGGTCCTTCGAGCTGGTGCTATAATTTACGCGGGCGATGTCGCGGTAAAACAACTAGCCTGATTATAAATGATGAAAATAAAACGAACGTTTCGATTAAATAGAAAGTTTTACTTTTATTCGTCTAGTTCGTTCTACGATGCAGAAGTTAAGCAACTTACGAAGATCTCGGTCATAGGATGGGTGACCGAATGTTTTTAATATGGGGACTATATAGCAATTGGGACTTAATAGCCAATGTTTAACAGTACTCACATCTCATCCTGTCCTTCTTAGATGCCAATTGGCATGTGACTTTATACAGATGTAGATGCGAGGTCTCCTCCGATGCCCATATGAAGCTGACCTCGTTGTCCGCAGACGGAAGGAAGTGTAATATATCGTGGATGTTGATCCACGCGTCCGGCGCCGTCTCAGATATTAACACTTGGATGTCGAGAATATTCTAGAAAAAAAAAAATAATAATCAAATACATTTTTTTCAATACGGTTGCTCATAAAGCGCTATTTTTTTAATCCATTGTAAACACCGCAAGTGAGTCTTTAAACACGTGTTAAATAAAAATGTACTGAAATCCTTTACTGCACACGTGCTTAAAAGTATTTTTTTTAATTCTTTTTTTTGGCCGAACACCAAAGAAATTTTAAAAAGAATTTGATGAAAATATGTCAAACTTTAGAGGCAAAACTATTTCAAGGAGCCTAGAACGAATATTTTCAAATAAAAATGTATGACACAAAAACATTTTCAAATATCACGTTTAATTTTAACAAATAATTTTTACCTTTAATACATACTTAGTTTTATTAACCTATATATATATTTGTTTTATTTCCTTGCAAAACGCATTGAAAAATGTTGTAAGAAACTTGAGCGTAAAAGGTTTTATTCGTAATACCTTACTTTCCGCACTCGTATCTTAAATAACTATTTTTTTTTCTTTAATAATAATTCATACACATTAATTTCTTATATTATCACGCGCACTATCCACAAATGAAACAACTTTTAAACGGTTTCATCGCGTTTGTATTTATTTTTATCGATGACGATCGAGACTTGACTCTTAATTAAAACTTTATCAACACCTTAGTGTTATGTGAACACGGAGCCTGTAAAGAATCCGAAACGTCAATAAAACTTCCATTTATAATTTCAAAAGTTATTTCATTTATAAATCATACACACTTTTTTCAATTCCTTTTCTAACCTTAAGTATTGTCGCCTAATAAGGCCTAATGTTTTGCTTACTCTTATTGACCCGGTATGTAGTTTATTTGTACCGTTTTATATTTTATTAGCAGGTCGGTGGCACGGTCTGCGATCGTTGTTGCTAAGCAACTTTCGCAAGGGTCTGTCACGGGATTGGGGACCAGGAAAAAATCACTATTCTTACTGAAATAAGTGCCAGGGACCAAGTGGATTTTTTAGGGATTCATCATCAAGAATATTTTTAAATATTTTCAATTTCAATATTTAAAAAAAATAACTAGCTCGAACTACTCTATGCTTCGATGGGTTAAACTGTATATCCCGGTTGCATCTCCAGTCGTTATTACACTCTTATCCGCATGGCCTATCCTCCTTAATCACCCATAAGGAACGCCAGGGCTCTAATCGGGAACTCTTATAGCAGTTTTTAAGTCGTGCAGAAGGCGGGACGCTTATATTATGCAGTATAGCGCTATCCCGCTCGCTGCACGGATTAAACTTTGTTATAAGATGTGATGGTAACTCCCTAATCCTCTGCAGTGGGGGAGTAAAAGGACTGATGATGATGAGGGGTATAACACGCCAAGCGGACATGTAAAAAAATACTCGATGTGTATGAACTCAATGAAATTAATATTTGAGTATGTTTTACCTTTACATGTCCTCGGTACATGTGCCAAATATATTTTTTTAAATATAGTTACTGGTTAAAGAGTTAACAGACATTGAAATTTCGGACATTCAATACTTCAAAGCCGAAGAAGAATGTGGAAGAATTTAAAAAATTATATATTATTTCCCGAAATCAAACTAGATGTCGCTACTTTCTTGATTTCTCCATGACTACTTTTCCGGTTTTCTTTCATGTATAAACTTAAATTAGTTTTCAAAACTCAATACACAACTCCTATTCTATTTGTACTTTGTCGTATTTGTATTGATATCTAAGTTGCGAACTTTGCAAAATTTCTATGTTTTTAATATGTTAGTTAAAAGGAACTATCTTTCATCCATTCGTTTCCCGCAAAAATCACCTTTTGCTAGAGTCGCCATCTAATGAGGTGCTTTTTTTAAAAAAAATACTTCTTCATTAAATTGTCACGTGTTTTTGTTTTTTATTGGATATGGGCAGACGAACAGACGGATCACCTGATGGTGAGTGATTACCGCTGCCCATGGACACCTGCAACACCAGAGGGGCTACAAGCGCGCTGCCGGCCTTGGAGGGAAGGGTTGAGGGGTAGAGGGAGGGTTTGGACCTCCGGTACCCTCATTCACACGACGAGACACAACGCAAGCGTTGCTTCACGTCGGTTTTCTGTGAAGCCGTGGTATCACTCCGGTCGAGCCGGCCCATTCATGCCGAAGCGTGGCTCTCCCACCAGTTAAAAGGAACTATCTTTCATCCATTCTTTTCCCGCAAAAATCACCTTTTTGCTAGAGCCGCCATCTAGTGAGGTGCTTTTTTTTTAAAAAAAACTTCCTCATTAAATTATCACGTGTCCTAGTCGCGTGTAATGCCCCCAATATGGTATATAACACCGACCTCGTTCCCGTGCGGTGGCATCGCGAACGGCGGCCGCGCCAAGTGCGCGGGCGCATGCTCGTACCCCGCGGGAACACTCAACTGCTGCACGGGAATCAGCGCCAACTCCAGCCGCTGCTGCTTGCGGTCCAACAGCTGAGCCCACACGCTGCAACAACCACCAACGAATCAACCACTATCAAATATCACTATATAATGTTGTCTTTATTAAAAAAAAGGGATGATGACTGGGTAAAAAAAATGCAATTCTATTTAGTCCGTCAGTCAGATAATAGAAAAATATTAGTTACGTATTTTTTTTTTACTTCAATTTAACAAGAAATAGCTTAGATAACAGGCGTTAAAGTTGAGGAGTGGGGGCTCGCTTCGTCACAGTTGAGTAGAAAACGTACCCTAACGTGACGTCATGCGAAATTTCAACTCCATGTAACGCCGTTATTTTATGACTACGAAAAAAATATAAAAATACGTGTTTAATCTTTTTAAACACTCTACCTGACGGACAAACAAACGAAAATTAGTCATCATCCCTATTTTCTTAACGTTAACAGAATTGGTTTTCAAGTGTCATGTTAATTCGTACGAGTATTACAGTCCATGTGGAAGTACCGCCACAAATACTCACAACTGTCCACACGGCGTCCACCCCACTCTGGCCAGATACTCGAACCACGGGAACGCCTCTTTTAGTGACGTCCTCAATTCGTACCACCGGATGTCCGTCACTTCGGTCAACTCACTATCTGTATACAAACAATCACATTAAACAAATGACTTTTTTAGAACTATACAGAGCTCATATAACCCTGTATACGGTCAGTCGCACAAACGTCCATTAAGCTTTAATGACTCCTTTAAGCTCTAATGAATGTCTAATTTGGGTAATGTCGCTTTAAACTAATGGCAATTTTAATGGAAGTGTTGACACCTGCTACGCGCCTCGAAATTTATTTTTCAAGAAGCTCATTGGCTGCGGAAGCCCCGCCCACTCGGTGGGGTGCTTCGCCCACCTAGCGTGCGGGCGCAGAACGCTCTGTGATGAGCCGGCCGCCGCGTGTCAGTAGTATCTTAGTGTAAATATTATGTTCAGGCAAGTTGTTAAATCAAGTTGTCTAATCAAATTGACAAGTAAGTTATGTAAGTCAAGATAATCGTCAGAATAAATCGTCTTAAGTGAAGCCGAACCCAAATTAAAAACACTGAAACGTCCGAATTCACTTCAAAAAGCGGCACCAGCTCAACCTTGAATTGGTAATAATGTTCCTTCGCATAAGTGAGTTTCGAAATGACATAGGAATAGAATATTTGAGACACGTATGTATCAATCAATCTTGTTCTATATTTTTATACAAAAAATTTAATCAATAGAATTTCTTCGATGATTCGGACACATGAGTGAATTCTAATTAGGGTTCAGATTTTTATAGAATCGCTCTACTGAAAAGAAAACCGTTTACGATGGTTTAAGTACTGTTTGAGACGTGCTTAACTTTAAATTCTCAATTAAGAAGCCGGGTGTTGGCATTTTATTCTGTAAAGGTACATAAACTGTGTAAGAGCAGCTCTATATACACTGCCTAGAAGTGTTGATAATTTTGTTTATCTTTTCTACTGTTTTTTTTTTTATATTATATTTGTACACAATATATATTATAATTGTTTATAGTGAGTCGTACTTGCATCCGCGTGACATTTAAACATCCATCACCATCATCACCAGCCCTTTTATTATTGTATTGCTCAGGCCTTCCTTATGGATGGTTAAGGAGGATGGGCCATGACCCTCCACGCTGGCCCAATGCGGATTGGAGGGTATTAACGACTGCAAATGCAGCCGGGACCAACGGCTTAACGTGCCTTCCGAAGCACGGAGTAGCTCGAGATAATAATTTTTTGGTCACCCATCCTGTGACCGACCCTTGCGAAAGTTGCTTAACGACAACGATCGAGGGCCGCGACTAAAAAATCTAACCAAAAAATCAGCGTTGGCTCTATTTGCTTCGTTATATACTGAGCTAGACAACTTTGGTACAATAGTGGTTTATAGTTTGGTACACGTATTATATTTTGTTACTATTGCTGTCTCTTTATGTTTTCTTTCATATTTAATTAGAAAATAATTAAAAAAAAAAGTTCTTTATTAACGTTATTTCTATCGGTTAAAATTTTTGAAATTGTCCCAGTAAGTAATATAAAATACTTGTGTTTGGACTATTTCGCTCCAGCGCTGTGGCAAGTACATATTTTAATGTTAAAAAGAACCAACACCTTGTCTGTGTGTATTGTGTGTTGTTATAATACATATTTATTTGATTCTTTTCAATATGTCTTCAGTTTTTTCATTATTGTCCATAAGTGTCCCGTGTATGTGTGATAAATAAATGCATTAAATACGATTTAATTATTTTCAGATATACGAAATTTGCTGATGAATATTATTTGTCTCAAAGTACAGTACTGATATTTCTTTCTATATAATAATAAGGCTTTGCTCGCAACGTGAATTACTGAATGACTTGACTGTACTTTTCTCCCTTAAATCATTCAGTTGAAAGTAGCACTAGCTTATAACAAATAACCGGCTAAATATTATAATTTTGACATTCCGAAGCACGGAGTACCTCAAAATAAAAAAAAATTGGTCACCCATCTCGTGACCGAAAGTTACTAAAGTTGCTTAACAACAACGATCGCGGGCCGCAGCGTTTATCCACTCCGCCATCATGCTACACATCCATTCATCGTTCTATTAAAATTTTAACTTACTGGGTGTATCGGTAGCTTCCTGGTAGTAGTCGAGCACTGTGGTGGAAGTCGCCTTCTGTAGCCTGAACGTGACCAGTTTCAGTACTGACTTTGCATTAGGAGTGCCGGCACGAGGAAACCTGAATAATAACCAGAGGTCGGAATTAGGTAGAGTTATTTATGTACTTGCATCGAAATGTTGATATTAATGTGGACCTTCCCGGGATTTAGATAGTTTGAATGTGGTAGAAAGAGACACAATCTAGTACATTACGTTAAGTGGGGAGTGCTCCGCATTTGCGCTATTGTATTCTTTTGTTCTCACAAGCTATGAGTTATTTAATGTGCGACAAATGTGGCAACATCGCGCGTATTGGTATTTTGCAACTTTGGACATCCGATGTCATTGATGTAAGTGCGTGCAGTAGTTTAAATTGTGTAAAAGTAAATAACTTTTTATTTAAAAAATCACGGGATTCTTTCTGCTCTTTAAAATTAATCTCGGGATTTGAGGCATATCCACTTTATTCTTTTGCTGTATGAAATCAGTGTAAGTACATGAATACTCTACCTAATTCCGACCACTGATAATAACCCATATTAATGTACGTATAAGAAACCAAAATTAGCAACGTACACAGCAGGCCTATTCTATAACTCAATTGACAACCCAAAGTCATAATCACCGGGGAAAGTGAGCAACTCTGATGTGTCAAAATCATACAATAACAAGTGCTTAAAAGATTCGTCAGTCCCGTTAGGTCCTGGGTAGCTCAGCGGTTAAAGCGGTCGCCCGGATTGCGAAAGGGGTTCGAGTCCCATCTCAGAGTGCCAGGGACAAAGTGGATTTATTTTGCAATTTTTCATTAAGAATATTATCCAGTATATCATTGTAAATGCAAAATTTATGAAATATAACTATTTAAATGACTTGCTGAATGTATAATAGTAAATTAATTTTCAAAACTCAATAAATAACCCATATGAATTTGTACTTTTTCGTATTGCTATTGATATCTAAGTTTCGAACTTTGCAAATGTCAGTTTTTTAATATGTTACTTAAAAGGAACTTAATGACTATTTTCGGTGCATTCGTTTCCTGCAAAAATCAACTTAGTTTGGTAGAGTCGCCATCTAGTGAAGTGTTTTTTTTTTATCCTTTTTTTTCCTTTAATACTTCCTCATTGCTGAAAAAGGACTAATGGAGTAAACTCTAACAGTGAGGATAGCGAATACTGTACCTAATATTTAACTGTTAATAATATAGTCTCTTGTAATAATAATTAATAATAATAAAAAGTATAATGGTAGATGTGATAATTGATGTTTATGATTGTTTGTATGTAGTTTTTTGTACTGTGTGTTTTTTTTTAATTTTATTGTGAGCTCGAAGAAGTATGCGTCTACCTGCCGAGAAAACGGCTAGGAGCCAATTGAAAATCAGCGTCGGGTTCGATAAGGACATGATAAATTGCTGAATCGGCTACCTTTTTTGTTGCGGCCGTGAGACACAAAATATCAATCAAGCCCTATGTATCATTTCTTTTTAAATTAATTGTATCATTTAAAAACCTTTAGTCAATTTTATGTATGTTTGTAGTTTTTCTCATGTCTGTAACTAAATAAATCTCTCTCTCTCTCTCTCTCTCTCTCTCTCATTATATATCAAAAATTATCTTGCTTCCATTATTATTAAATGATTATGTTATCATTATAAAACCATAGTTGCTTTTTTTTCTCTCTTTATTTATAATGTATTGATCTGGTAATGACATCGTTTTTGTAAATGTCATTACTCCTATTAGAGCTGGTGAGTTTCTTGCTCGTTCTTCTTATCAGCCAAAAGACGTCCTGAACGAGTGGTAGGGAAAAAAATGTTGGACGATTCAAAAGTACTTTTAAGAAGTCTATTTAAATAAAGATTATTTTGACTTTGACTTTCTCTCTCTCTCTCTTTTTATAGTAGATGTATAATCATTTATATTACATTTTGACAATAAAGACACGTTTAATAAACAAATAATGGTGGTCTCGTCCAAATTTCTATAACTTGACGGTCATGAGTGACATCTGAAATTCACTTGTCAACATACCTAAACTCCTCAACTTCGCCGTTGCTGCTCTGTGATGATGGAAAGCTGAATACCTTCACATCGCTCTCATCCACTTCCTCGTAAACTATTCTGTACACGTCATCTGGAAAATAATGAACATTTTCAAATGTCGCTGTGACAACTTAAATAAATGGGGGCCGTCCATTAATCGAGTGAGGCTCGAAAGGGGGAGAGGGGATCGCTAAAATCACGAGATATCACAAAGGGATGAGGGGGTGTAGTAATATATCACGTGTATTTATTTTTTCCTTAAACGCGATTTTATTTTTATCCAATTTTTTTAATTGATTTGCGTAGTGAGAGGAGGGGAAGTCTTAAACCTCACCATGTTTCACCAAGAGGGGGGTGGGGGTAAAAATGTTGAAAAAACATCACGTGATTAATGAACGGCCCCATATCAGTTAGAATTTATGGCAACATGTTTTATTGGTATTGGCAAAATTGAACTGAATGTCTATTGCACAAATGTTTTAGATTATCGATGGGACCTTTATAGTAATATGGTAAAAATACTTTCTTGAAACGTAAGGTATGATAAGAAACTCCAGCTGAAGCAAAACTCAACTAAAATAACTCATTTATAAGCACATAAAATATCTACCAATCAAGATGATTAAGTAGTGCACCTGCACGCACGCCGATTGTGACTGACATGGAAACTTAGTGCATTGTATTTTACGCCTTATAGTTAAAGAATCAAGAACGATTTTAAATTTTAAAAATACGTTCGGTCATTTTTGGAATTGGTAGGTCTATGCAAAAGATGATTCACCGTGAGCTTTAGTTTTATATTGTTTTTTATTTTATTTTTTATATTAAATGGAGGGCAAATGACTGCGCTCCACCTGATGGTAAGCGGAGGCGCAGTCCAAACGCGAGGACAGCTAGTGAAAACAGTACGTAGGCACTGCACTAGCCAACCACACCTTGCCGACCTGCAAGGTGCTTCTTTATCAAAGTGTAGAAAACTTCATGAGATCATATCCATATTAATATATCGACGCTGGAAAGCATACACGTAGTAACCCGCAAAACCAAAATGGATTAAAGTGGAAAAACTCTATATATTTTTCCAAAAAATATCTTATTTCCATATAAATTGACTAAAGAACACCTTATTTGTTACCATGGATGTTTATAGGAATTATTTATCGAAAATAATAAAAGCTTTTCTGCTCTGAAGAATAATTTAGGTTTTGCGGGTTACTACGTGTTTGCTTTCCAGGGTAGGTTTGCTTAAAAAGTTTATGTTAAATTATTATTATTATTTAAGAAATAAATATATATATTTTGAATATTTGTGGCATAACGTCATTTATGGCGTATTTTTAAACGGTAAAAATTCAACCATAGTTTTGGGTACACGGGAAAATGTATTTAAAATACATAAAATAATTCTTATTGATAAATACAAAAACGCTATTTTTAAGAGTTGTCCGATGCCTTGTCAAGAATGTCACTCACCATCAGACTTGGGTTGCCACCAGAAGCCGGTGTACCTCGAGAACTCCTCCTGGGTGACGTAACACGGTACCCCAGCTTGTTTTGGATCATCCGCTAACCTAAAACCAATTGTGCATACAAACTAAGAATTGTGATTGTTGAAAGTGGTTTAAATAGTACACGAGTACCGACACATTTCACGGAGCATCACCAAAGTCTCCATCGACGAGCTCCGTAGCCGAGTGGTTCGCACGCCGGTTTCAAGGTGTCGCCATCTCTGAGGTCCCGGGTTCGATTCCCGGTCGGGTCAATGTAGAGAATGAACTTTTCTATATTGACTCGGGTCTGGGTGTTGTGGCACCTTCGTTGTCTCAGATACTCCATAATACGGGGGCTTTAGCTACTCATCTTGGAATCTGAGCAATGTATGTGATGTTGTTAAATATTTATTTATTTATAAATATTTATAATAAGCGACAAATTTCCAATGATGAATTAAAAAGTTATTCGAGTATTTAACGATTTAGTTGTGCTGTTTGTTTGTACAGTTTTACGAGTTCGATAAAAATACGACAAAAGGCTTCTTGACTTCTTTGTTTGTGAAAAGCTCTGAAGTGACGTCACGCCATGGTACGGCAGCGAAAAACGTATGGGCACTCTTTGCATATCTTCGTTAGTTGTGCGTTCATGTTTAAGTTATTATAATGAAAGTTGTTACATTTTATGTAATTGATTTAATGCCATATTTATTTTTTCAAATTCATATTCTGTAGGATTAATTTCACATGATATGCATCTTATAATTTAATCCTATTAATATTATAATTGTAAAAGTTTCTTTCAATACGTACGTACTAAAAGTCACAAAACGGTTCTCATATATTTATATTATTATACAGAAAAGAAAGTTTGTCCGTCCGTCGAAGCGGGTGCGGTGGGGCGGCACGAAAATTGTAATATTTCAAAATTACTCAAGAGTCGCGTTGGCTTGAATAATGCGAGAACTTTGAGGGGGGCAAAGGGGGGATTGGGACCAGGGTGGGCCGTGCGTGCCTACTTACCGAAGGACTTGTTTTTGAACTTCTGGTTCAAAGTTGGATCAAAATATACTTCGTTTGCGAGGCCCAGTTAGGGATGATGGCCCGAATGGGAATACATGATTTATGAATAAGAACTTTTTGTTTTCACTGTTTCATATTATATTGCAGTAAAATATGTAAAGCTTTTGATGCAATGCCATCGTTGCTATAATATATAATTATTAAACGTTAAAATAAGTATTGGCTGTAGACATTGTTTTAAATGAGCGATAACTGGAAATGGATTGTATGTCACACAATTTATAAAAATAGTTTCAAGGATTATAACAAAAGTCATTAAGTTCGAATTGAAAAGATGTAAAAATATACAAATAACGAAAACTTAAAACTATTTTAAATAATAATATAAATATATGGGAACCGTTTTGTGTCAATCACGCCGAAACTACTGAACGGATTTTGATGAAATTTGGCATATAGATAGGATATGCCAAATTTCATCAAGTTGACTGACTTAGTTAATAGGACTTTTTATCCCACTATATACTTTCCCAGACCGTTTAAATAATGCGCTAATTATATATTTTTTCTCAGATTTTTTTGTACATATTAAAACTTTTTACTGTTTCAGTTTCTTTTCTATTGCTTTTCTTGTATAATCTTATATTACTTAATATTAATATAATCTTTTAATTCAGTAATTTTACAGTTGACGCTCCACTGTCAATAACAGTTACAATAAATTGTTGTCTTATGGATGGGCCATAAGAGATGATTTGTAGTTATGTGACTTCCTCTTATTAAATCAATAACTGTATACATCCTTGCAGATGCTGCCATAAAAACCTTCATAGTAAATTAAATGATACTATTTTTGAAAATCTATTTGATAATTATGACATAACTCACTTAATCAGTAAATTAAAGGTAGAAAGAAGCATCTGTGACGAAAATACGTAAGCTGTGACTAAATTTATTATTCAGTATAGCATTGTGAATGCAAACTTGATAAAATATAAAAATTCGTCTATTAAATATATAACCAGTGGCAAAAATACACAAGCAGTGATCAAGATATATAAGCAGTGGGACAAAATATACTTTTAAGCAGTGCCGAAAATACACAAGCTATGACCGAAATATATAAGCAGAGGGACAAAATATAAGCAGTGCCATAATACATAATCTGTGACATAAATATATAAGAAACAGGACAAAATATGAGCGGTGACCAATAAACATAACAAATCATCAATATTTGGATTATCTTAATTAATAACTTACCGATCCGGTTCATGGCCTTTGCAAGCGTAAGTAAGACGCGTAGGCCTCCTGGGCGCTCCGGCGAGCCAGATGTCTCCACGAGCCGCGTGAGCTACCACGGTGGGCGCCATCGGACACATAGCGGGGGTTAGGGCTGCGCCCCCGCCGGTGCTGAGCGAGCGGGGGACTAGCGGTGGTGTCTGTTGGAATGAACGAAAATTAATAAATTCTCAAAATCTAAATAGAGAGTACAGACCATAATCTACCATGCAGGTTTAGTGCAGAAAGATGAGTGTTAACAACTGCAGATGCAGCAGCTTATCATGCCTTCTGAACCGCAAAGAAACTCGTGACAAAGTGACTGTGACAAGTTCAGTGCTGTATCATTCACTTTAGGAGCTACATGATAAATTATTTTCTATATTGTCTTTATTTTTATGCGTCGGGTTGTTGGTTTTTGTTGCTATGAAGGTGTGCTTTAATGATTTTATAAATTTATGACAGCTGTTTTACGTTTCCTACCCACTTCCTTATCATAATATGCACGTCTAGTCTAATAATTGAACTCTCTCGGAGCGCATCGCTTGCGCTGTGTCAAGTTTTTTTATGAATACTTTATTCGTCGTGAGTGTTATGTTCTTATGAAGCCTAAGTTATTAAGAATGTGTTGTTTACAAGAGTGTGCTACTTAGTGAAGATTAACAGTATTGAAGACAATTGGCTGAGCACGTGCTTTTAGGACTTCGACCGCCATTGAACTGGTGGATGAGTTTGCAGTATCAAACAACAACCAGAGTGAGTGCATATTTCCATCCAGTTTTCCAGTTGTCTTTCTATTTTTTCCCCTTTTTAATATCCTAAAGGCAACTTATTCTTACCTAACAGCCGTCATAATAGATCAGTTGTTTTTATTCTTTGTATTTTTTGGCACACCAAAAATAATTTAAATATACAGTCCATTAAAATTTACTTTACCAGCTACTAAGAAATATAATAATTTTTTTTTTTATTCTTTTCACACCAAGTTTTGGTACTTCGGCCGGACATAGTTAAGTCCGTTTTTATTGACTAGAGTAACGTCAATTATTATTGTGTACACACATTGTTATTGAATTTGGGCTTTCGCATATGCTACAATTTACTATTAGGTTAATTAATGTTTGTTAGTGGGTTAAGGAGTTGATGTTAATTTATTATTTTCTTATTGTTTTCATTCCCGCACCGCAATTACATCAATTCCATTTATTTTGTTCGCATAATCCATATTAAATAACAAGCAACAGTTATACCTATTTAAGTAAACAGCTATATTCATATTTTTAAATTGTTCCATTGATTTCTCGAACGTTCTTTGATATTTTGTCTACCCGCTCTAAGTTAATATAATAACGCGATCTCGCCGCTCATTCTTTAATACTCGCTCGGTAAGCTTAGGTATCATACCTACGTACCTACTAATAATTATTCATATATTTAGTATATAGTACATACACTCACGCGTACGCCGCATATTATTTATTATATTATAATAATATTATTATATCACACAAGTCGTTTGTAGTTACACTTACATTTGTAGTTTATGTTTAAAAAACATTAATTATCTATTGGGCGTTGCTTGCATACATACCTATATAATATTTGTTGTTTTTATATTTAAGAATTATGGCAAAATTTAAAGAAACTAAAGATGTCGAATTACTTGAACAAAAGTTTCGAATTATTCAAGCTAAGCGCGATGCTTATTTTGAAAGAATGCAAACTATTTATGAGATGTCTGAATCGGTTCATAAGGATGACATCACTAAAGAAACTTTTTTAAATAACGTAATCAATATTGACTCATTACGAACTGATTTTGAATGCATTATAGACGATTTTAATAACTTAAATTTAAAAATAAATCCTCAAGCACCAATTAATTATCAATCTTGGACATCTTTTGATCAAATGTATTGTGTTGTCAAACGTGTCGAAAGGTCAATCACGGAGACTTCAACATCTATGCAGCAATGCTCCAAAGATATAAAACCGCATACGATTACTTCTACTCCTAAATTACCACCAATTGAGTTAAAGTCATTCAATGGAGACATACGAAATTGGCCTTTATTTTACCAGCAGTTTAAGCATATTATCCATGATAATCCTAACTTAACAGACGGTGAAAAAGTTTATTATTTAATTGGTAAATTAACTGATAAGGCGTCTACAGTGTGTACGGGATTATTACCCACCGCTGAAAATTATAATATTATTTGGAATTCACTTAAGTCAAAATATGATGACCCACGTTCGCAAGCTACCACTTATCTTAACCAATTATTAGATTTTAAACATATGCATACAAACAGTGCGGCTGGCCTTGACCTATTTATTAGTATATTCAACTCGTCCATCGAGGCACTTAAGCAATTAAATTTACCTGATTTGTGTGATTTTATATTCTTACATATCGCACTACAAAAATTAGACACTGAAACTGTAAAGTTATTCGAAAATTTGAACGGCAGAAAAGATATTCCAACTTATGATTGTTTAATTAATTTTGTGAAGGAACAGTCCAAAGTATTAAGTCGTACAATTTACGATTCAAATCAAAATAAGATTCGTAATCAAAAAATAAATGTTCCTTCTCCAAAAAATATAACTAAATCTTTTATGAATACTGACCGTCAAAATTCTGTTAACAATAAAACTAATTGCTCTTTATGTAAATCTTATCATGAACATTTGTACCAATGTTCGTATTTTTTAAATAACATGTCTCCACATGATAGATATAATTTTATTAAACAGAATCGTTTTTGTAATAATTGTTTGAGCTCTAAACATAGAACTTTAGCATGTACTTCGCAACGCAATTGTTCTCATTGCTCTGAAAGGCACCACTCACTATTGCATTTCAATCCGCACCCTGTTAAATCTAATGTTGTTATTAATTGTCCTGATAAAAAATGCACTGCTCATATCAAACGGCAGTCGTGTGACTCATCGCTCGTAGCAGACCGGTTACGGCCTGAGATTAGAAACGCTCCTTGCGTGCCAACAGTAAACGACACTATGTCACCCGAACATAAGGTCGACAATTCTTTATCACCGCAAATTAATTCTTATACAACCACATCGCATAATACTTTTGTATGCAATAACAAAGGTTTACACGCTACTACGACACTTCTGGGCACCGCAAAAATAAAAGTAATAGATAAATTTAATAAAACTCATTTTGTTCGTTGCTTAATTGACCCGGGTTCTCAGAGTAATTACATTTCTGCCGATTGTTGTCATCGTTTATCGTTACCTATTCTTACACAAAATCGTTATTCTAAAGTTCACGGTATTGGCGGAGTTTCACAGCGAGTACTTGGTAAAACAAACGTTACTTTTACGTCTCGTTTTGATAATATTAAAAAATATACTATCCAACCTTTAGTGATGGATCAAATTACAACTCAATTACCAGACTCACATGTTGATTTAAATTATTTAGATTATGTTAAAAATCTTCCATTGGCCGATGATAGTTTTGGTCAACCCGGGCCAATTGATATACTTTTAGGGGTAAATTTTTATTGTGAGATTTTATTATTTGATCGTAAAGTGTTAAGTAATAACTTACCATCCGCTTTTGAAACCAGTTTAGGTTATTTAATTATGGGTGATGCGCCTATTGTCTCCTCTCAAAATATTACACAAAATCATTGTTATTTCTCCCGTGAACCCTTACAATTTAATCTAGAAAAATTCTGGCAACTAGAAGAAGTCCCTAGTGTAAAATTTTTAAGTCCAGAGGAGAATGATTGCGAAAAAATATATTGTTATTCTACTATTCGCAATAAAGATGGTAGTTATACGGTGGACCTACCATTTAAGAAATCGCCTCATTTGTTAGGTAATTCTTTTATATCCGCAAAGAAGAGATATCTAGCACTCGAACGAAAATTTTTAAAATTTCCTGATTTACGTATTCGCTATAATGACGTAATAACGCAATACATTGACATGGGTATTCTTACTAAGATTTCTCAAGAGGATTGCCTCCAACATGGTTTTTATTTACCGCATCATCCCGTGTTGCGAGAGGATAAAAGCACGACAAAGGTTCGAGTTGTCGTGGATGGAAGTGCACAATCGGATACTGGAATTTCTTTAAATGACATCCTACATACTGGATGTAATTTACAAAATGATATTTTTAACATTCTTTTAAATGTTCGCATCTTTTTTATAGCATTTTTTACCGATGTCCGCCAAATGTATTTGTGCATTCATATAAACCCTGAACATCGTAGATACCAACGTATACTATATAGATTTAATCCTGATGATCCTATTGATACTTACGAATATACTAGAGTTTGTTTTGGTTTACGTTCATCACCATTCTTAGCGATTAGAACTTTACGCCGTCTTGCTGAAGAGGGCCGACAAGACTTTCCTTTAGCGTCTCAGGTTGTAGAGAGGGATGTGTACATGGACGACGTGGTATCTTCTGCATCTTCACTCGAAGAAGCAGTAAAGACTACAAATCAGTTACTCCATCTTTTTAAATCAGGAGGTTTCGAGTTAGTCAAGTGGACAAGTAACTCCTCGGAACTTCTTTCACACATTCCAGAGAGTCAACTTTTATCTGACTCCATTTCATTTGATCACACCAATGAAAGTGAACACAAAATTCTTGGTTTACGATGGCTTGCGACATCTGATGAATTTTTCTTTACAGTTACACCCCCTGACCTCACGTGCACTAAGCGTGCTATTCTCTCCGCAACCGCGCGTCTTTATGATGTTTTGGGTTTAGTTGGACCTGTTATTTTATATTCTAAATTATTAATTAAAGAACTTTGGACACTCAAACTCGAGTGGGATGACGAACCGCCTTCTTACATAATAAATTTATGGAAGCAATTAGTTCAACAATTACCCCTTATATCTGAAATTCACTTTCCCCGCCATTTAGGAATCATGAAACAGTCAACTGTTACTCTTTTAGCTTTTTCAGATGCTAGTGAAAAAGCATATGGTTGTGTCATTTATGCTCACGTCGTTAACGACAATAATAAACCTATTGTTAGATTAATTTGTTCCAAATCAAAAGTGTCTCCACTAAAATTTGTGACAATAGCGCGTCTTGAACTCTGTGCAATCGTGTTAATGTCTAAATTGCTTCGGGTTGTCTATGATAATGTTTCCAAACGGCATCCAATAGACAAGGTTATGGCTTTTTCGGATTCACAGGTGGCTCTCTGTTGGGTGCATTCTAGTCCACACAGATTCAATACATTCGTTGCAAATAGAATTGCTCAATGTCAGAGTTATTTTGATTCTAATTGTTTTTATTTCATTCCTGGTATACAAAACCCGGCAGATTGTCTGTCACGAGGTCTTCTACCTCATCATTTTAATAATCATAATTTGTGGTTACAGGGAACGGATTGGATGTCATTGCCTTCTCGTGAATGGCCAATTTGTAAATTTGTGCCTAATGAAAACAATAAAGTTGCCGAAGAAAGAACCATTACTCATGTTGTATGCCAATCCGAACCTCCAATTCATCCACTTTTATTAATTAGTTTAAAATTTTCGTCATGGAACAAGTATTTAAGATCTTGTGTATATTTTTTACGTTTTATTAAAAAACTTATGCCCACATAATAACAGCAAATGATTTAGATGTTGCTGAAATGTACGTAATTGAAGCTGTTCTTTTCAGAAGACATTAATAATTTTACCGAAATGTTGTCATATTGTTAATATTATTATAGACTTTTATCACCAAGAAAACCTTCACGCAGGTCCTCAAGTTTTACTCGGTTTGATTAGACAGAAATTTTGGATATTATCTGCTCGAAATTTAATTAAACAACGCATACATAAATGTAATAAATGTTTTAAAATTAATCCAAAACCTACCTTTCCGCTTATGTCAGATTTACCAGAATGTCGACTAAATGTCGAGTCACATAAAGCTTTTACTCATACTGGTTTAGATATGGCCGGTCCATTTCATATTTTAATGACTCGAAAACGTGGCGCTCGTACTCAAAAGGCATATATATGTATTTTCGTGTGCCTCGTAACAAAAGCTATCCATATCGAGTTAACCTCAGATCTGAGTTCTACCTCATTTTTAGATGCTTTCAAGAGATTTTTATCTCGCCGTGGTTCCTGTCAAGTATTGTATAGTGACAATGGTGGAAATTTTGTTGCATCTAAAGCCTATCTTAAAGAATTACACGAATTTTTAAAATCGAGTGATTACTACAAGGAGTTTAGTAACGAGCTTGCTAAGCATCGTATTACCTGGCGTTTAAACCCTCCTAACGCCCCTCATTTCGGTGGAATCTGGGAGGCTAATATAAAAAGCTTGAAATCCTTATTGTTCCGCGTTATAGGTAAACAAATTTTATCATATGAGGAATTGCTTACTATTTTACACCAAATCGAAGCTGTTCTTAACAGCCGCCCTTTATATGCGTTGAGTACGGATCCATCCGAGCCAACCGCGCTAACACCTGCACATTTTTTGGGTAACACAACTCTACCGTTTTTACCCGCAGCTGATGTGAGCGAGGAGCGTGTTAACTTATTATCTAGATTTTCATTATTGGACTTGTTAGTACAGTCCTTTTGGAAACGATACAAATCTGAGTATCTACATAATTTGCAAACGAGAGAAAAATGAAACACTCCTTCTAAACCTGTAACTGTTGGTACAATTGTTTTAGTCAACGTGGATAACGCTCCAACTTTGCATTGGCCTTTAGGCATAATTACTAAAATTTTTCCCGGAAAAGACGGTGCTATACGTGTCGCTGAAATTAAAACAAACAGTGGCACCTATATTCGCCCTATTGTACGTTTATGCCCATTACCTAATCAATAACCGTACTTATATAATTAGACTTATATATATATATATATTTTTTTTTTATTTTTTTATTCGGGTATATTATTATGTAGGGTAAATTTGTAGCATTTAGTTAAGAGTTATGTGCTATTTATTATTTTTAACTTTGAAGGGAATTCTTCAAGGGCGGGGGAATGTTGGTTTTTGTTGCTATGAAGGTGTGCTTTAATAATTTTATAAATTTATGACAGCTGTTTTACGTTTCCTACCCACTTCCTTATCATAATATGCACGTCTAGTCTAATAATTGAACTCTCTCGGAGCGCATCGCTTGCGCTGTGTCAGGTTTTTCTTTGAATACTTTATTCGTCGTGAGTGTTATGTTCTTATGAAGCCTAAGTTATTAAGAATGTGTTGTTTACAAGAGTGTGCTACTTAGTGAAGATTAACAGTATTGAAGACAATTGGCTGAGCACGTGCTTTTAGGACTTCTACCGCCATTGAACTGGTGGATGAGTTTGCAGTATCAAACAACAACCAGAGTGAGTGCATATTTCCATCCAGTTTTCCAGTTGTCTTTCTATTTTTTCCCCTTTTTAATATCCTAAAGGCAACTTATTCTTACCTAACAGCCGTCATAATAGATCAGTTGTTTTTATTCTTTGTATTTTTTGGCACACCAAAAATAATTTAAATATACAGTCCATTAAAATTTACTTTACCAGCTACTAAGAAATATAATAATTTTTTTATTATTTTTTTTTATTCTTTTCACACCAGGGGTAATGATTTAAGCACAGAGAGATGTGAGATTCTCCTTTATCACAGGAGGCCTACCCACCAAAACCCCTACATATCCTCTGATGGGAAATGGGACCTGAGAAACCATGGTCGAGCGCCACAATACTATTTCTTGATATTACGTACTTTAATTCAAACAGGGGTAATACTTGATTTATTGAGGCAGTGGGAACAACCCGTACGTAAATAATTTTTAATTCACCTGGTTAGTTCCCTCTTCGGCAACAAACAGTGAAGATGCACACGGGAACAACACTCTGCCAGTGGCCTGGTGTAATTCATATGATGCAATGCCCCAAGCGGCCACCCGTTGACGCTCCAACAAGAGCTGCTCCTCACGCGACCACTTCCCAGACGACACACCAAGGGCCACATTTGATTCAATAAGAGGCTTCCATTCCAATCTGTAAAATTAAATGACAATGTTATATAACTTCTCAAGTGCTTATGTTCACAAAAGAAACCAAAATATTTGTCGACTTATGTCATAGTTACTAAAGGGACCACTAGTGGCAGTGTGGAAAAAACATTTCTTTTGTTGGCAACTTCAATGAATGTGTTATGTATGAATGACAAATATATTTTAATTAAAATACCATCCAGGTTATCTTGTTAAAGAATAAGATTAATATATGTGGGTAGTTACTTCACTTAGCACCTCTCTGTCTTGTCATTGTGCAGGCTTAATAAATGGAATTACTTAATTTCGTGTTTTAATGGACATAATAGAATGTGTACATAATCTATGGTTTTTAGCATGTAATACGAACTATAAATAACGCTCTAAAAAATAGTACAATTGAATAGCTTGTAACTTATATATCCCTTGATAAGTCTATGTGATATCTGTGAGTGCATACTTAGTTTGACGTTTCTTTGGAATAACTTTCGAAAAGATGTTGCAATCACTATCAGACATCAAATTAGTTTTAATAAATTTTAAAATTAGACAATCAGCCTGCTGGTCTATAAATTATACGATCATGAATCCGGACGATCCAATTATTTTTATTAGCTAACAAAGGATATTGATAATATGTATCTACCATTAGAAATAACCTTTGTCACATTAGAATAGATTATCTTTTTCATTATAAACTACAATAAGTTAGATAATGATATTTGTAGTTGGTAATTATAAACCAATTATGTTTAGTTTTATGCTGGTGTTATATAGATACACAAATTTTCGTGTTGCTAAAAAATAATCAATAGAGATATACAGAGTTGCTATGTAAGCAGAAAATTCACTAGAGTTAGTCAGTTCAGGTAATCAAGTTTGAGGTGTGATAAACAGCTGAAAATTTAAATGGCTGCATTAAGATTATTTTTAACCTTGATAATTAACATGAGCACCGCGGCCACAATCGTTGTTGTTAAGCAACTTTCGTAAGAGTCAGTCACGTAATGGATGACCAAAAAAATATTAACTCCATAATGCACTTGCAGTTGTTAATACCCTCCAATCTGCATAGGGCTAGGGTGGATAGCCATGGCCCATCCTCCTTAAGCATACATAAAGAAGGCCTGAGCCCCTGCAGTGGAGATATAAAAGGGCTGATGAATTTACATGATTTATATTTATAATGTATTAGGGGTACAGCTGGAAATCCAATCTGAACATTTCATGTAACTCACTTAATGCCATATGTATTTTTAGTATTTTTTTCTTACTTTTTCCAAGTTTTTGAAGTTCAGTTCGATGCAAAATATTACATTTTGCAAATTAGTGATGTAACATTTATTTTGTTAACTATTCATAAGTTAGAATGGTTCATATATTATTATTCTGAACATATAACAGAAACATGAATTTTCACTCATAGATCACAAGCCTATTCTGCCAATTTATAAATAATAAGTTAATATACTTTTCTGTACAATATGGTACCAAAATCAAATCCATTTATGTAAGGTAATGTTACAACTTTCATTATAATAGCTATTAACATTACAAAAATTGCCCAGACGTCCATACCTTTTTTCACTACAGTGGCACTGTATGACATCACTTAATGCAATGAAGTTGTAGGGAGCATTTTAGACTAGCATCAGTTCCACAAACAAAGCACCTTATCACCAAAACATTTAATCGCAGACATGGTGTTATTTCTACATTATTTCTCAGATATTAAAGGACTACATATTTATAAAATTAAAGTTGTCAACCAGCCTATTGTATGAAACGCAGAAATAAGCCATTAGTAAAAGATGAAGAATTCCTATCAAGGGTTTTACCATGTGAATTATGATCTCCATCAGATCACAAACTAATTGAGATTTAACACATAGTTAATAAACAAAGAATTTTTATTAATGGTTTTGACATGTGAATTATGATTTATCTCATCACTTTGTGGATCTATTAAACTATTACTAATGAAAAGGTTACTAAAGAAGGTACATCTCTTCAATAAAATATTAATATCTTTCTTTCCTGACTCAGTTTGGAAAGTAGATGAACAAATTTCAACGATAATAATTTATTAATGTGTATAATACATTTCTATAGTATATATACCAAATCACCTGCTATTACTTGGCTGAGTTGATGGTGTCACATCAGAATATAGCAAAGTTATCTCCCAACCGTTAATTGGAGTCCTCAAAAAGTATATTCTAGTCTTGCCGTTAGCTAGCTTCCGGAAGGATATAGCCATTGGAGTCATAGCTGAGAGGGACGCCAGTTCCTTCCTCAAGTCGTGGACTGCCTGTCGGACTTCAGCCCACGTTGCCCTTTTTTCTGGAGGTTTGACATATTCGCCGGCACTTGCAGCCCCATCGCCTGCCTCCCTCACTTCCATACTCACGATATCCATAGTTAAAAATAACTATTAAATCTCTCTATTAAATCTAAATAGCACAATTCTCATAGTGTTCTAATAAAACCTTCTAACAAAGGAACTCTTTTTGCAGTACAAAGCGTAACAGCTACTCTTTTATCCTTATCTAATATAATTTGTCTAATTAAATAATGAGTATTTACAAGTGGGTGTCGTCATTGTATAATTTATTATGATTAAATAAAATATTTAACTAAATAAGCCAACACACTCGTTTGCGTTTTTAATTTTTCTTGACGAATGGTGGCCATCGCTGACTTAAGCAGCTGTTGCTGTCAGTTTTTGACGTGTATTTGACAACCGTCTAGGAACAAATATCTATGAAATTTTTATATTTTACCAAGAAGCTTTTAAAAGAAAAATATTTATACTTTTTTATTGTAATTTAGCCACCACTCCTGTCTTAATTTTATGCATTTTTAATGAGGAAGTATTTAAAAAAAAGAAACCACAAAAAACATTGATGCATTTTTAATATTTTGAGGGTACTTTCATATAGTATGAGTTAAATAAACGAATAATAAATACGGTACTTATATCAAGTACCCCCTATAATTCTAGGTCCCTAAAAAATCATAAAAAATATTTTAAGAATGATCCATTGACCTAAAACGTATTTATCAAAAAGGAATGATACTGAGAAAATTTCTTAAAATAATATATGGTCGATACTATAATTAATTATTTTTAAAAGAAAGTAAGAATAAATCACTCAAAGGTAATAACAGTAAAAAATTAAACTGACCTCTTCTTCGAACACACGCCATTGCTGAATCTGCTATTTTTAATAGAATGTCAAATCAAGTTAATAGTCATATAAAGTAAAGTCAAGTTAATCGATATATATAATTTTTATGATATTATCATAAAATTTATTTTAATATACTCGTCAAAAATAGTATGTTGACTTTTTTTTATAAACTACTGTTTATGTACAAATCAATGAGTTTAATAACTAGAGAAGCAATCCCATACAACAGACGCGCCAAAAAGCGTAGCACTTTTCCGAAATCAGGACGTAGCTTTGCAAATAATATTTATACTATATAATATAAATAGATTTATTATATTATCTCCCTCATATCTACGATTAAACTTTAAATTAAACAAAGACAGAATATGCGCGAACGACAGAATGAACGGAAAAATGGGTATTTTTTTTTTTTTTTAATTTATTTCTTAACCTGGATACAAGTCCATCAGTTGCATACATATTAAAAATTGAATTACATATTCAAAATAAGAGAACAAAAAATAATGAAAAGGAAAATAATTTCCAACATATTAGAAGCTATTTACAAAGTTTGGAATAACATTATCTGATGACAATTCTTATTATTATTATTATTTTCTTTTTAAAATTATAACAAATAGATATTAGAACATTTAAAAACAACTGATTAAAATCTAATTAAAAGTTTTAAATCTTTTCAATAGTATTTACAAGGTTTTAAATCTTTTCAATGGTATTTTCTATGAATATGTACAGCGACTTAAAAAATTCAGGGTTACTTAATAATTCTTGAACGCGGCGGGGTACACTGTTTAGTTTTAGTCGTTCACAGATGTCACTAACGTCACATGTCAACGTTAACCGTTGAATATTGAAATTTGGACAACTGAAAATGATGTGCTGAAGGTCTGCGTTATCTTGTGTACAGTAGAGACATTGGGCGTTGCTTAGGACGTTGATTCTCGTAAGATGGGTTGGTACAAGGCAATGACCAAGACGCATACGGGATAAGGCTGTGATAAATTTTCTATTCAAGTAGGACTTGGATTTTTCATACCAAGGCTTGATGGGTAAGTTTCTCTGTATTTCAGCATACCACTTGCCTTTAGTCTGTAATGTCAGTTCCCAGTACGATCTCCAAAGCATTCTTGCGTTTTCCTTAAAAAACCCGTAATAATCAGTAAATGGCACTAACAGAATATTGCTATGATCTTCATCATGTTCCATATGTGTAAGACTGTCAGCTATCTCGTTCCCCTCTATGCCACTGTGTGAGGGAACCCATACAAATTCTACATTAATGCCTTTTCTATTAAGATGTTCAATCAATTTAATTATGTTACACAATATATAATTGACTTTATATGAAGATAGACCATAAGATAAAGAATATAATACACTTTTGGAATCACACACTAGTACAATATTTACATTATTTACATGGTTATTTGCATAAATTAAAGCTTGCTGTAGAGCATAACTTTCTGCTGTGAAAATACTACAATGGCTGTCTAATTTTATGCACTTTGTGTAGTTAGCTCTGGGGTCATAGAAGGCTGATTTAACATTGTCATCTTTTGACCCATCCGTATATATAAAATAGTGATCAGCTTTATTATTTTTAAACTCAAGAAACTCTTTTTTATTGCTAATAATATCTAAGTGATAGTTATTACTACCATTAATTAAACTATTGTATGTACATGTATATAGAGGCCATATTTCAGATCTATGTATGTTTAGACAGCTATTTTTAACATGTGTAAATATTGTAACTATTTCAGGACCTGCCAAAAGTTTATCTAATGTAATATGAGGATGTGCCATTGATTGGTAAACATTAGACATTCTATTCAGCTTTTCAATGAGGAGATTACTGGAAGACAAGATTTTAAGACTAAACTTCTCAGCCAATTGAAGTCGCCTTAGGAACAGTGGAGGTACACATGTTTCAATTTCTAATGAGTTGATGGGAGTAGAACGCATTGCTCCACAAATTAATCTCAGGCCTATATTCTGTATTACATCCAACTTTCTTAAAAGAGTATTACTAGCATTTATATATGCAAAACAGCTATAGTCAAAATGACTTCTCACTATACTCTTGTATAGCATGCCCATAGATTTAGGATCAGAACCCCAAAATGTTCCAGCTAAGTGTCTTAGAATATTTATTGCTCTCATAGCCTTTGCACTTATATAATTTATGTGTTTATCAAATTTTAGTTGGTTGTCTATAATGATACCTAAAAATTTATGTTCATTAACAACAGGAATTTCTATATTATCATATGAAATTTTTATATTATTTCTATTTCTACTAAAGACTAAAACAGAACTTTTTTCTGGACTAATATCTAGCTTAAGTTTATTGTTATAATAAGAATGTAACTGTTTTAAGGCAGTATTGACATTTTGTTGGGCTACATCCAAATCTTGATTAATGCTATACAAGAGTAGATCATCAGCAAACTGTAGTATATTTACATTTTCAGTATTAACAAATTTGAGTATTTCTGAAGTATACAAATTATACAATAAAGGAGACAGTGTTGCTCCTTGCATTGTTCCTTTATTAGCAACTTTAGGACCATGTAATCTATTATTGTATTTTACATAGACTGTTCTGTTATTTAAGAAGGTGTGAAGCCATTGTAATATTTTTTTTGGCATACCTATATCACATAAAACTTGAACAAGTTCCTCAATGTTGACATTATCAAAAGCACCTTTAATGTCCAAAAAAACACAGATCATGTTAGAATGGCTTAGTTTAACATTTTTAATATCCTGTATAAATGATACAAAACTCTCAGAGCAACTTCTACCTTTTCTAAACCCATGCTGAATAGGAGGAATCAAATTATTGGTTTCTGAGAAATAATCTAGACGTAACTTGAGCATGTTTTCAAATAATTTTCCTAAACAGGATGATAACGATATTGGTCTGTAAGAAGAGGGAATACTGTGTGGTTTATTTGGCTTTAAAACTGGAATGACACATTGAGTTTTCCAAGATTCCGGTACTATACAGTATTGCCACAATTTATTATATATATACAATAAAATCTGTTGTGCATTATTATGTAAATGTTTAACTAATATATATGGTATATTATCAAGTCCTGGTGTTGTGTCTTTCCTGCTTTGTAGTGACTTAGTAAACTCATTAAAAGAAAATGGTTTATTTAGAAAGGAATTTAAAGAATTTTCTTCAGCAATATGGAATAAGCTAAAAATTCTGTTTTCATTGATTTCAGTGGAATCAGACAAATTGTTAATAAAACTTAGAATCCATCCATCTTCAAAATGTTTATTATCAGGACTACCAATTCTTTTAAACTTTTTAATATACTGCCATATCCTAGAAATAGGTGTTAGTCTGTTAAAACTATTGCATAGTTTTTTCCAAGATTCCCTACTTTCTTCTTTTATTACTCGTTTTTTGAGGGCATCTACCTTTTTGTATTCAATAAAGTTATCAATAGATGGATTCATTTTGTAATTCCTTAATGCCTGCCTTGATTTACATATTGCATCATCACATTTTTTATTCCACCAAGGGACTGGTTTTTTATGTAATTGAAGCTGACCATTTCCCTTTTTCCTAGGTATAGTTAGTTCTCTTAAGTCATTTAAAATATTTACAAATTTGTTATACATATCTAGTGGATTTTCATATTCAATATCTATTTCAGAGAAACATGTCTCTGACTGTGAGTAATATCTAACCCAATCAGCTTTACTATAGAGATATTTTTCTTCAACAGGACCAAATTCAAACAGCGATGGTTGGATGTTTAAATGAAGGGAAATTGGATAGTGATAGCTACCCATGGGATCATCCTGGACGTGCCAATTACATAAGTGGGCTATGGAGGGGCTGACAAGTGACAAATCTATGGCAGAAGCATTTCTATTAGGATAAGGACATGTAGTTGGAGTACCATCATTTAAAATACATAATTCAGATTCATCTATTATGTTGAACAAACTATTGCCTCTATTATTGTTACTGTGGCAACCAAAGGCTATATGATGTGCATTAAAATCACCCATGATAATGCAAGGTTTAGGCAATCTATTTACAATGTTTTTTAATTTATTACCTTCAAATCTATTACTATTAGGTGGACAATATACACAGAGAATAGAAATATCACCTGATTGTGTTTTAAGGCTAATGGCTATATTCTGAATACTTTCATGAAACTTTGTATTTAAAATATCATATTTCAAACCATGTTTAACTAGAATACCTACACCATTATGTGTATTTATAGAGTTTTTGTAAATAAAATTATAATTTGAAAAGTTCGGAATATTGGAAGAATTTGTAAGCCAGGTTTCATTTAAGAGACAAATATCAATATCTTTTTCAATTAGTAACTTTTGTAATAAAGGTTTTTTGCTCTGTAAACTTTGTATATTATACTGACATATATGTATATAACTATCCATTAAATTAAGTAACCCAAAAATGTATCCTTTATTTTCTTTGAAGTCAAAGGT